TGTTTACAATTATTAAACAGTTAATGAGCTCCGAAGCACCAGGAGGCTGTTTATAACAATAACAACAGTTGATTAGCAAGTTTTCATGTTTGTAAACTGTTTAATAAATGTAACCAAAGCCGCCAAAGATTGAGGAGAGATGTACACGTTCGTAAGTACTTGCGTAAGTGCGTTCGTGAATCTGGCCTCTGAACATGTTTTCTCAATCTTTGGCGGCTTTATTTACAATTATTAAACAGTTAATGAGCTCCGAAGCACCAGGCGGCTGTTTATAACAATAACAACAGTTGATTGGGAAGTTTTCATGCTTGTAAACTGTTTAATAAATGTAACCAAAGCCGCCAAAGATTGAGGAAAGATGTACACGTTCGTAAGTACTTGCGTAAATGCGTTCGTGAATCTGGCCCCTGGTGTACAGGCTCATAAGCCTATTGGACTTGTATCATACCTACATTTGAAATCGTGTATGGAGTCAGCCTCCACCACATCACTGCCTAATACATTCTATTTGTTAACTATTGTGACACTGAACTAATTGTTTCTAACGTCCCTTGTGGCTCATTTGGATACAAGTGTCCACCTGTGTCCCCTTGTGCGAGTACCATCCGTGATAAATAGCCTGTCTTAATCTATCCTATTAATTCCCCCTGATAATTTTGTATGTGGTAATCACGTCTCCCCCTAACTCTTCTGTCTTCCAGCAAGGTGAAGTCCAATTTAGGCCAATCCAATGTCCATCTCCGCCCACGTACTCCCATCCCTGTTTCCACCCACATACACCCTCTCCATTCTCCACACAAACACCTTTAAAATCCTCCCCATCTCTGACCATCTTCACTACACACTATCCTCCCCCCCATCTCTGATCATCTTCACTATACACTATCCTCCCCATCTCTGACCATCTTCACTACACACTATCCTCCCCCCCATCTCTGATCATCTTCACTATACACTATCTTCCCCATCTCTGACCATCTTCACTACACACTATCTTCCCCATCTCTGACCATCTTCACTACACACTATCCTCCCCATCTCTGACCATCTTCACTACACACTATCCTCCCCCCCCATCTCTGACCATCTTCACTACACACTATCCTCCCCCCCATCTCTGACCATCTTCACTACACACTATCCTCCCCATCTCTGACCATCTTCACTACACACTATCCTCCCCCCCATCTCTGATCATCTTCACTATACACTATCTTCCCCATCTCTGACCATCTTCACTACACACTATCTTCCCCATCTCTGACCATCTTCACTACACACTATCCTCCCCATCTCTGACCATCTTCACTACACACTATCCTCCCCCCCATCTCTGACCATCTTCACTACACACTATCCTCCCCCCCATCTCTGACCATCTTCACTACACACTATCCTCCCCATCTCTGACCATCTTCACTATACACTATCCTCCCCCCCCATCTCTAACCATCTTCACTATACACACCATCTCCATCACTGTAACCAAAGGGGTTGTGCCCAGAACACAAAGCTGTCATCTGAACATACATTTTATGCCAATATATGAATACGTTAATACATAAACAAATGTCTACTGAGCAGAACACGTCATATGCATCAGGTTTGTACAGGGGGTGCATAGGGGCAGAATCCCCTTTAAGGGGGGGCATGGGGGGGGCCGATGCCCCCCTCCTCCTCCTTATGGCACTCCCCCATACACTCACAAGTAATTCTGCAAAATTTATTGAGACTATCCCCAAGCATCTGGCTTTTATCCTTGGACCAAGATATATAATTTTACAGATGTAGATTAAATAAACATTAATGAATAGAAAAAATTAAATATTCAAAACAAATTTAATCTAATTCCATTTTATGATACCTGAAGCTAGATACGAGTTACACAAATTACTGATATGATCCTGTAAACTGTTTATCGATGCTAATCACATGAATAATTTTGAACTGTTTACAAGTGAATAATTCTGAGTTTATAATGCTAATCTATAATTTAATCATTGTGAACTTGTTTATGAATACTAATCTATAACCGAGTTATAGGGAGGGTAGAAATAGCCTAAGCTACTCTATCCCTTTGAGATGTATTTCTTGCTTATCTCAATATACTTGAACTTGAACTTGAACAGAGTTATTCTGAACATGATTTTAATGGCAACGATAGTTAAAGCATGTGTAATGGAATCTTGCATTATTCGAAGCCTAGACACTGAAAACTATTAATTATAGATTGTACAAAATATACAACACACACAGATTAAGGCAGTGTCTGGGATGCTCCCGGACGCAGGTTCGAATCCTCGTCACGGCCCTTGTGGATTTGTTCGTTTAAAATATACAAACTTTGATCAAATTTTGTTCTCAACACAACATTGTGAACTGGAGAGAGGCTGTTCTCTGACGACCGACCGTTATCTGGAGCACATAGTAGTCGTTGGAGGCGAACTGGGTGAGGAACCTGGAGTAGATACCGTCGCCGGCCACTGTGTCAGCGTTCTTGCCATCGTCAGAGAGTACCAGCCAGTCCTCGCTGCCATTCGGGTGTAGCAGCCAGGCTCTGCGGACACCCACCAGGTCAGTCATACAATATAAATACGTATTGACATACGTATATAAATGAACTTCCATGGTGATCAGACCACACACACTAGCAGGTGAAGGGACGACGATGTTTGGGTCCGTCCTGGACCATTCTCAAGTCGATTGTGACTCGATCGACCTGAGAATGGTCCAGGACGGACCGAAACAAACTTCCATGGAGATCAGATCACACACTAGAAGGTGAAGGGACGACGACGTTTGGGTCCGTCCTGGACCATTCTCAAGTCGATTGTGACTCGATCGACTTGAGAATGGTCCAGGACGGACCGAAACGTCGTTGTCCCTTCGCCTTCTAGTGTGTGGTCTGGTCAACATTCAGCCACGTTATTGTGACTCCTCGCCTGCAAACTTCCATGGAACTTAAGTAGGCATCCATCAGTCTTAGGAGACTATGGAGTTGCGCTCTGGTTGTCGGTCTGGAGTGGCCTCACCAGGGCGCAAAGCCAGGGTAGGTTGATACGGAAGAGAAGCTGTTACCCAAGCAGCAGGTAGGTAAGAACTTATATACCGATATTCAGCTAGGAAACTTGGCCTACTGCCGCCGTACCTGACGGAGGCGTTGAGGAAGGGGTGAGGTCCTCGTCTGACTTCCCCGTAGAGGATTGGTAGTTGTGTAGCATTCACGCTGTAAGCCGGTTGGTTCAGCTGGAGAACACAGGCAGGGAACAGTGTTGTGTGAACATTAAACATGGAATGTTCTACTTTGTGATGCATAGATCATAGCTAACCGTTCATCAGTGAGGTCTTGGCTTCCACAATGACACACCTTTGATCTTTAACCATATTCATAATGTAAAGTCATCTAAAGATGACTTACTGTTAAAATTATCTCTAAAGTTTGTTAACTCATTGTTAAACAGATACAATACAAATAATGACACAAGTTATTGTGATCTTTGCCCGAAACGCTATGCGTACTAGTGGCTTCAGGTATTGTATGTACTAGCTCTATCTATAAATCAACGCTATGCGTACTAGTGGCTTTACGTATTGTATGTACTAGCTCTATCTATAAATCAACGCTATGCGTACTAGTGGCTTTACGTATTGTATGTACTAGCTCTATCTATATAAATCAATCAGAATGTTTGTAACTCTGCATAATGTATGTACATTTCCTAAATAAAATATCATTATTATAATATGCGATGACGTCAATTATGCGCGCCCCCAGCGGGAAAAACTGACAACAGTGAAAGGAAGAGAGACTCAACTGGCTCGTTGTCAGCGGCGGGTGCAGCATTATACATTCTTCCATGTTAACAGGTGGAGTCAAGTCCAACTACGTTTATTGAGACAATAAAATACACCTTAGAGAGATAGAGTAGCTTAGGCTATTAAAACCGTGCTGGGGTGGAGTCACGATCCCTCGCGGGTCTACTTAAGACCAGGATTTCCGGCCTTGCTGCACGGGAGACATCTCCCGTCACGTAGGGTGCAGTCGCACCTCCACAGATCTCCAGTATCAGCTATTGATACTGGTAATGGCTCAAAAGGGGCCACCACTTACGGGCTATTCATGCCCGTGCCACCTTTTGGGTGGCTTAATCTTCATCTATCATCGGCCTTGTTGACATCCGAGTTACAGCCCCGCTCCTGTGCCAGGTAAGTCAACAACGGCTCACCATAGCCCGTGCTTCTTGCAACATTGTGTTTCAAGTAGCGAATCTTAAACAACAAGGCCTTGCTGAGCCAGTGGTCACACACCTGTCACGCGGCTCCTGCAGTGATCCTGGTGATCCTCCTGTACCACAGCCGACCCGAAGGCAGCACACAGTGGAGGCCAAGACCGTCAGTAGTTTCAAAGCGTTATATGACAAAGAGTGCTGGGAAGACGGGACACCACGAGCGTAACTCTCATCCTGTAACTACACTTAGGTAATTACACCACAACCCTCCCCCCTCTTCTTCTCTATACATCGCTCTCAGTACTGTCATCCTTGGGGGGTAGAAATAGCCTAAGCTACTTTTTTGAGATATATACAAGAGTTGTTACATTCTTGTACAGCCACTAGTACGCGTAGCGTTTCGGGCAAGTCCTTAATCCTATGTTCCCTGGAATACGATCCCCGCCGCGAAGAATCGTTTTTTCATCCAAGTACACATTTTACTGTTGCGTTAAACAGAGGCTACAGTTAAGGAATTGCGCCCAGTAAATCCTCCCCGGCCAGGATACGAACCCATGACATAGCGCTCGCGGAACGCCAGGCGAGTGTCTTACCACTACACCACGGAGACTGTTACTCTATCCCTTTGAGATATATTTCTATCCCTTTGAGATATATTTCTATCCCTTTGAGATATATTTCTATCCCTTTGAGATATATTTCTATCCCTTTGAGATATATTTCTTTCTTGTCTCAATAAACATACTTGAACTGTCACCGTCCTGCACTACTGCAGCAGCACGCCCGACACACTCCCCTCCTCCGAGTCCCCGCTACCGCCATGGACCCCCAACCCCCCTATTATCTGCTGACGGAAGTAATGTGGTGAGCTACACGCAGGCGGGCTCCCCGTCAGTGCTGACCAGACACGCAGGCGGGCTCCCCGTCAGTGCTGACCAGACACGCAGGCGGGCTCCCCGTCAGTGCTGACCGGACACGCAGGCGGGCTCCCCGTCAGTGCTGACCAGACACGCAGGCGGGCTCCCCGGCAGTGCTGACCAGACACGCAGGCGGGCTCCCCGTCAGTGCTGACCAGACACGCAGGCGGGCTCCCCGTCAGTGCTGACCAGACACGCAGGCGGGCTCCCCGTCAGCGCTGACCAGACACGCAGGCGGGCTCCCCGTCAGTGCTGACCAGACACGCAGGCGGGCTCCCCGTCAGTGCTGACCAGACACGCAGGCGGGCTCCCCGTCAGTGCTGACCAGACACGCAGGCGGGCTCCCCGTCAGTGCTGACCAGACACGCTGCCACACTGCCGAACGTTCCAAACATTCCACTCACGTCCCGGTGGAACGGTCGAATTCGTTCTCCACTCAAAATCAGCAATTCCGGGTTCGAATCCCGTGCGGGGCAGAAATGGTTGGGCGCGTTTCCTATCACCTAATGGGTGTGTTCACCTAGCAGTACATAGGTAAGTGAGCCCCTTGTTGTGGAGTTGCTTACCCAAGATGTGATGGCGATAGGATGGTCTTGTGCAGTTCTTGTACGTGACGTGACCCGCACGTGGTAGGTCTTGGTGAACTCCACTTCCGCCTGCCACTGCCACTCTCCAGCCTGTCAACATAACGTGAATATATACACAAACCAACAGGTCCTCAGACCAGGTCCATTCCATCCAGCGGTCGACCCCAAAGACCCATTCATCAATTTTAACATTCTGTTCATTCAAAACATAATTGTTCTCACATATACATTAATATTATTATATATTAGCATATTGTGCATATTTAGGCATTGGTTAGGTTAGGTGTTTAGGTTCTGTTGGCGATTATTTGTATTTGTAGTACGTGGGTGAAGCATTTACAGCGTTGTGGTTCGAACACAAGTCGTCAGTGAAGCACTTGTTCCGGAAGTGTTCGAACGTCATCAGTTATGAGTCGTGTGTACAGAGAGAGAAATCCTGCGTCTCTATATACAAATATTTTCAGAACAAATCAAATATTTTAATTTCAATGTACAATATGAGCGTTGAGAAATAAATCAGAATTATCTACATTATAAATAGCAACACAATTATTGTTAATAATAACATTATTCAACTATTAAAGTGTAAATTCCCGTGGGCTTCTACCTCGGCCTCGGGGAGAGTAATACTCCAAGTCCGCGTCACGTCGTCGAAACGTCCTGGTATGAGGCTTGAACTTGGACTGATGAGACTTGCGTTGGTTACTTGGTCCAAGTCATCAGTGTAGAGCAGAAAGGTCAGGTCACGACCCATACTCCTGTCTACGTAAAAACTGTCCGATTTGCTGTCATTGGCCTCTGCTTCGTAGATCTGCGATGAAACCCAGAGATAGAAAGATTTGGAGGGAGTTGAGCACGTTTATTAAAAAAAAATAAAAAAATTCAAATTCAAATGTTTATTCAGGTAAAGTACATATATACAAGAGGTTATACAAAAATTGATAGATTTATGCATAGAGCTAGTACATACAATGCCTAAAGCCACTATTACGCAAAGCGTTTCGGGAAGGAAAAGCACTTAAGACTAAAACTTAATACTATTTCTATATTAAGACAAAATACATTTCAAAGGGATAAAGTAGCTTAGGCTATTCCTACCCCTTTGAGGAGTGTGGGAGAGGTGTTTGACGAAGCTTAGTATAATTCATGTTTCCACTACGTTTCCAATGAATCTATAACAACAACAGCTGGACACCGGATACGGGCTCGCCATAGCCCGTGCTACATGGACACTTCGTCCTGAGTAGCTAAATCTGAAACAACAACAACGTTTCCAATTTGTTTCCAATTCCTCCCTCACAGTTTCAGCCCCGCTCCTGTGCCAGGTAAGTCCATCACGGGCTCACCATAGCCCGTGCTACTTGCCCCGCTCCTGTGCCAGGTAAGTCCACTACGGGCTCACCATAGCCCGTGCTACTTGCCACGCTCCTGTGCCAGGTAAGTCCACTACGGGCTCACCATAGCCCGTGCTACTTGCCCCGCTCCTGTGCCAGGTAAGTCCACTACGGGCTCACCATAGCCCGTGCTACTTGCCCCGCTCCTGTGCCAGGTAAGTCCACTACGGGCTCACCATAGCCCGTGCTACTTGCCCCGCTCCTGTGCCAGGTAAGTCCACTACGGGCTCACCATAGCCCGTGCTACTTGCCCCGCTCCTGTGCCAGGTAAGTCCACTACGGGCTCACCATAGCCCGTGCTACTTGCCCCGCTCCTGTGCCAGGTAAGTCCACTACGGGCTCACCATAGCCCGTGCTACTTGCCCCGCTCCTGTGCCAGGTAAGTCCACTACGGGCTCACCATAGCCCGTGCTACTTGCCCCGCTCCTGTGCCAGGTAAGTCCACTACGGGCTCACCATAGCCCGTGCTACTTGCCCCGCTCCTGTGCCAGGTAAGTCCATCACGGGCTCACCATAGCCCGTGCTACTTGGAACTTTTAGTTCCCAGTAGCTGTATCTTAAACAACAACATAATTCCTTTACGGGCTATTCCTGCCCGTGCCACCTCTAGGGTGGCTTAATCTTCATCAATCACATAATTCCTGTTGTCAGGGACAAGAAGCCTGTACTTAGGCTTATCAAGAAACCTCTCCCTAGACACTGACCGTCCACAGGATGCAACTCAATAAATGCCTAAGAACCAAGGTACCTACAGTATTTTACTATTAGGTGAACAGTGGCATCAGGTGAAATGAAACGTACTCGACCGATTCTGTTCCGCTAGGTGGTCCCTGGCGTGTGGGTCAAGCACACAGGCTACTGTGCTACAGGACCCCTAACAAACCCATATAATGATGGATAATATGTGTTGAGTGGGGCGCCTGACAGTTGAGTGGACAGCGCTTCGAATTCGTAGTCCTGAGGTTCCGTGTTCGATCCCCAGTGGAGGCGGAGACAAATAGGCAAAATGTTTCTTTCACCCTGATGCTCCTGTTACCTAGCAGTAAATAGGTACCTGGGAGTTAGACAGTTGCTACGGGCTGCTTCCTGGGGGTGGAGGCCTGATCGAGGACCGGGCCGCGGGGACGTTAAGCCCCGAAATCATCTCAAGATAACCTCAAGTGTCGCACCCATTCCCTCCTCCAAACACACTTGCCCAACCACTTGGGTTGGACGGTAGAGCGACGGTCTCGCTTCATGCAGGACCGTCCAAGTGGATGAACACCATTCCTTCCCTCCCCGTTTCATCCCAAACCCTTATCCTGACCCCTTCCCAGTGCTATATAGTCGTCATGGCTTGGCGCTTGCCCCATGATAATCCCCTACTCCCCCTCCCCCCCCAGTCCAACCACTGGGCTGGACGGTAGAGCGACGGTCTCCCTTCATGCAGGTCGGCGTTCAATCCCCGACCGTCCACAAGTGGTTGGGCACCATTCCTTTCTCCGTCCCATCCCAAATCCTTATCCTGATCCCTTCCCAGTGCTATATAGTCGTCATGGCTTGGCGCTTTCCAACAATTCCCTTCCCTGGAACTGGAGCCGGTCGGCTGAGCGGACAGCACGCTGGACTTGTGATCCTGTGGTCCCGGGTTCGATCCCGGGCGCCGGCGAGAAACAATGGGCAGAGTTTCTTTCACCCTATGCCCCTGTTATCTAGCAGTAAAATAGGTACCTGGGTGTTAGTCAGCTGTCACGGGCTGCTTCCTGGGGTTGGAGGCCTGGTCGAGGACCGGGCCGCGGGGACACTAAAGCCCCGGAATCATCTCAAGATAACCCTTCCCCTCCCACACACACTCACACTGACGCAGGCTTGCTGACCTCAGTGGTGGTGTCTGCCACAGTGACGGACGGCTCGTATTGGAGGGCGGCTCTGAGGGACTGGGAGAGTAAGTGCCACTTGCTCTCTGGCACCACAAGGTCCAGGCCACCCGTCTTCCCGGCGAGCACTCGCAAATCTTGGTCGGAGGCAACCTTGGTCGTGGAGACATTCTCCAAGATCCTGGGTCTGAGGTGGAGATAAGAGTGGTACTTCAAGCTTATACTCAGTTCAGATAAGACATATAACTGTACAAGCTATGGCTACTCTAGACCATCACTGGGTTATCCCCAGTGATGGTCTGTGATCAGTGATGATCCCCAGTGATGGTTATCCCCAGTGATAGGCCGGTTATCCGGCCTATCACTGGGTTATCCGGCCTATCACTGGGTTATCCGGCCTATCACTGGGTTATCCGGCCTATCACTGGGTTATCCGGCCTATCACTGGGTTATCCGGCCTACCGGTTGTATGAAAAGCAAGATGGAAATATACTTTTACAAAAGACTTAAATGTTAACACGTGGAGGCTAATTCTAATAATTATCAGAGTTCTAATCTTTAGACCAACACCAAGCTTGCTGGTTGAACAAACAGAGATCACACTAACGTGATGCATCAAATGAACAAATCCACAAGGGCCGTGACGAGGATTCGAACCTGTGTCCGGGAGCATCCCAGACACTGCCTTAATCGACTGAGCTACGACAGGGTTAAAAAGGGTTGAAACCGAAGTTCTACTGAACTTACTGAATCCCGTAGCCTGTCCGAGGCACAAACCTCGTGCAGGGGGGGGGGGTTGTGTAAAATCCTGGTTTGTGCCTCAGAGAGGCTACGGGATCCAGTAAGTTCAGTAGAACTTCGGTTTCAACTCTTTTACCCTGTCGTAGCTCAGTCGATTAAGGCAGTGTCTGGGATGCTCCCGGACGCAGGTTCGAATCCTCGTCACGGTCCTTGTGGATTTGTTCATTTGATGCATCACGTTAGTGTGATCTCTGTGTGTGTTCCTCACTAATTACTTCATTATCCATTTTTTCCCTTTCGGTTCTTTAATACGTTTGGGGCAGTGAAATGTTGTCTGGAGTTTCTCTGGAGTTGCAGGTAGCTAATCAAGTTACGATGCCTTGCGTCGTGACACCTAGGTAATCAAATACCTAGGTCACAAGAGGCCAGATTCACGAAAGTACTTACGCAAGTACTTACGAACGTGTACATCTTTCCTCAATATTTGACGGCTTTGGTTACGTTTATTAAACAGTTTACAAGCATGAAAATTTTCCATTCAACTGTTGGTATTGTTATAAACAGCCTCCTGGTGCTTCGGAGCTCATTAACTGTTTAATAATTGTAAACAAAGCCGCCAAAGATTGAGAAAAGATGTACAGGTTCGTAAGTGCTTGCGTAAGTGCTTTCGTGAATCTGGCCCCAGGTGTTGAACTAGAGAGGTTGCAGTAGGGACTCTGGGGGGGGGGGAACTCTAGTAATAGTTAACTAGGGGACGGGATAACGGACAAAAGAGAGCTGATGACCAGACCACACACTAGAATATGAAGGGACGACGACGTTTCGGTCCGTCCTGGACCATTCTCAAGTCGATGTATGAAAACTTGAGATCGACTTGAGAATGGTCCAGGACGGACCGAAACGTCGTCGTCCCTTCACCTTCTAGTGTGTGGTCTGGTCATCATACTTTAGCCACGTTATTGTGACTCATCGCCTGCAAAAGAGAGCTGTTTCCCCCGTCCTCGTTAGTTAACTGGGGGGGGGGGCAGAATAATGGACTAAATATAGCTATTTCCCCCCCCCCCCGTTACACCCTGTGAGTGAGTGAGTGACACACCGCAGGTGAGTGCCAGACCTGTGAGTGAGTGAGTGAGTGACACACCGCAGGTGAGTGCCAGACCTGTGAGTGAGTGAGTGAGTGACACACCGCAGGTGAGTGCCAGACCTGTGAGTGAGTAAGTGAGTGAGTGACACACCGCAGGTGAGTGCCAGACCTGTGAGTGAGTGAGTGAGTGAGTGACACACCGCAGGTGAGTGCCAGACCTGTGAGTGATAACCACAACACGGATATCCCTCTTGATCTTCCGGGCGATAGACTCCTCTACAGCGACCCCGCGGCCGCCAGCCAGCGCCACCAAAACACCGTTACTCCAGTCCAGCGCCTGAAACATATAGCCACACAATTAACACTTTAAAACTTATAATAAACCAATTCTTATAACATCAATATTGACTTTACATATCAGCTAGCTCAGGGAGAGAATCCTAAGGGAGGGAATCACTCGTCTCACAATCTTATAAAACCAACACAACATAGATTTGTTAAAACTAGATTTTGCCGATAGGCTACGGCAAAAATCCACTGTTTGATATTTATTTTAATATATACGTGTAAAGATTCATTTTTTCTGCACTTATGAGAGCAATAATGTATATAGGTGAAATATATAGGATTAGTTGGACAGCGAGAATTGGCACAGACTGTTAAACAGGACCATCACAGACATTGAGTGTTACTCAGGACACACACACACACACACACACCCACACACACACACACACACACACACACACACACACACACGTCACAGACCTGTTTAGCACCATCAGTACTGATGCCAACCGTACACACACACACACAGCTACCCGTACACAGCCCCACAACACAGCACATACACACACAGCTACCCGTACACAGCCCCACAACACAGCACATACACACACAGCTACCCGTACACAGCCCCACAACACAGCTACCCGTACACAGCCCTACAACACAGCACACACACACACACAGCTACCCGTACACAGCCCCACAACACAGCACATACACACACAGCTACCCGTACACAGCCCTACAACACAGCACACACACACACACAGCTACCCGTACACAGCCCCACAACACAGCACATACACACACAGCTACCCGTACACAGCCCCACAACACAGCACATACACACTCAGCTACCCGTACACAGCCCCACAACACAGCACATACACACACAGCTACCCGTACACAGCCCCACAACACAGCACACACACACACACACAGCTACCCGAACACAGCCCCACAACACAGCACACACACACACAGCTACCCGTACACAGCCCCACAACACAGCACACACACACACACAGCTACCCGAACACAGCCCCACAACACAGCACACACACACACACAGCTACCCGTACACAGCCCCACAACACAGCACATACACACACAGCTACCCGTACACAGCCCCACAACACAGCACACACACACACAGCTACCCGAACACAGCCCCACAACACAGCACACACACACACACAGCTACCCGTACACAGCCCCACAACACAGCACACACACACACAGCTACCCGAACACAGCCCCACAACACAGCACACACACACACAGCTACCCGTACACAGCCCCACAACACAGCACACACACACACACACAGCTACCCGTACACAGCCCCACAACACAGCACACACACACACACAGCTACCCGTACACAGCCCCACAACACAGCACACACACACACAGCTACCCGAACACAGCCCCACAACACAGCACATACACACACAGCTACCCGTACACAGCCCCACAACACAGCACACACACACACACACAGCTACCCAAACACAGCCCCACAACACAGCACACACACACACAGCTACCCGAACACAGCCCCACAACACAGCACATACACACACAGCTACCCGTACACAGCCCCACAACACAGCACACACACACACACAGCTACCCGAACACAGCCCCACAACACAGCACACACACACACAGCTACCCGTACACAGCCCCACAACACAGCACACACACACACACAGCTACCCGAACACAGCCCCACAACACAGCACACACACACACACAGCTACCCGAACACAGCCCCACAACACAGCACACACACACACACAGCTACCCGAACACAGCCCCACAACACAGCACACACACACACAGCTACCCGAACACAGCCCCACAACACAGCACACACACAGCTACCCAAACACAGCCCCACAACACAGCACACACACACACACACAGCTACCCGTACACAGCCCCACAACACAGCATACACACAGCTACCCAAACACAGCCCCACAACACAGCATACACACATACACACACAGCTACCCGAACACAGCCCCACAACACAGCACACACACACACAGCTACCCGAACACAGCCCCACAACACAGCACACACACACACAGCTACCCGTACACAGCCCCACAACACAGCACACACCCAACACTGTACCCACCACACAGGACGTGTAAGGCACTCACCATAACAGCAGGCGTGAGTGAGTGACTGGAGTTGGAGGTATGATTGCCGTGTTCCATCTTAGCGATCTCTAGGGCCGCCTTGAGCCTGGTGTCTTGGTTTACGATTTTCCTGTTTACCACCTTCCTGTTGGTCCACCTGCTCTCCACAACAACATTAATGGGAGTCATTGCCTTTCATCTAATACGTCTATTCACTAGAATTATATGTATCTATTGACCACAATAGATACATATGACATTATCATGTGTCACGTCAATAGATACATGACATTAATGACATTCTATGACATTATCCTTTAATTAGTACCCCCTTCAGAAGTGCCCATGGTTGGATTAATCGCTGTTAATTACAGTATTAACCTTTTCGGGCATCTATCTAATCGCAACTTGGAATGATCCTTAGACAAGTCTATTCAAATTCAATTTTAAATTATATATATATATATATATATATATATATATATATATATATATATATATATATATATATATATATATATACGCATATATGTGAGTGAAGAAATAATGGTGGCACTATTTAGGACAAGCAACACAGAGTGGAGATGTTTGGGCTCCAAGCCCGCAGGAACCCTCCTGGTGGTGGTGGGAGTAGTTACTCACGGATTTAAGACGGTGACGAAGGTGCCGTTGGAGACATCGTACATGACCCAGCGTCTGAGTGCCAGACTCTGCCTCAGCAGGTCGGAGGCACTGGCGGTGTTGTCGAGGAAGAAGGAGAAGCAGGTGCTGATCTCCCTCACTACTCTTACAGTCGGCTCCTGCCACTCGACCCCAGGCCCTGGGCTGTTCGCACACAGAGGGACATGTTATATACATCTTATAATCGACTGAGCTACGGAGCTGAGTCTGGGATGCTCCCGGACGCAGGTTCGAATCCTCGTCACGGCCCTTGTGGATTTGTTCATTATATACATCTTGTTTTATATGTTGAACACTTCAAATTATGAGCAAATCTACAAGGGCCGTGACGAGGATTCGAACCTACGTCCGAGAACATCCCTGCTTCAAATTATTAAATAGTAAAATGTTCTTGAGATATGATGCCATATCATTGTTCGTTGTCCCCATAAACCAGGTCATGGTAGTCGTAAATCAGCACTCATAACGCAGCTAACGACACTCACAGCTCACGACACTCACAGCTCACGACACTCACAGCTCACGGCACTCACAGCTCACGACACTCACAGCTCACGACACTCACAGCTCACGACACTCACAGCTCACGACATTCACAGCTCACGACATTCACAGCTCACGACACTCACAGCTCACGACACTCACAGCTCACGACACTCACAGCTCACGACACTCACAGCTCACGACACTCACAGCTCACGACATTCACAGCTCACGACATTCACAGCTCACGACACTCACAGCTCACGACACTCACAGCTCACGACACTCACAGCTCACGACACTCACAGCTCACGACACTCACAGCTCACGACATTCACAGCTCACGACATTCACAGCTCACGACATTCACAGCTCACGACACTCACAGCTCACGACACTCACAGCTCACGACACTCACAGCTCACGACACTCACAGCTCACGACACTCACGCCAGGCCCGACACTCACAGCTCACGACACTCACAGCTCACGACACTCACGCCAGGCCCGACACTCACAGCTCACGACACTCACGCCAGGCCCGACACTCACAGCTCACGACACTCACGCCAGGCCCGACACTCACAGCTCACGACACTCACAGCTCACGACACTCACGCCAGGCCCGACACTCACAGCTCACGACACTCACGCCAGGCCCGACACTCACCTGGCCTTATAATCGCTGTGCTTGTGTATCACACTCCAGATGCTCCCGCCATGGCAGTACGTGTTTTGTTTATTAGGCGCCTCTATAATGTGGGTCTCACTGGTGCAGTAGTTGCCCTGAGGAGACACAGCCCATTACTCTATGCTCATTAATCAATGGACTCACGGGCCGGTAAACAGACTCGACGCCGTTGGTAAACAGACTCACCGCATGACCCAGGGAGGTGGCTTTGTGGAGAACGAAAGCAGAGCGGAGGGTGTCGTTCCTCACAGTACCAGGGAGAGGCTCCCGGGAACAAAGAGTGGGGCGTCTGGTATCGTTGCGGCCGGCGGAGTAGAAAAGCGGGAACCTGGGATCGCTCGGGAAGCCCACCTCATCAAACACGCCCCACCTCAGCTTGGCCCACTCCTCCGCCAACACCTGTCCTGGAACACCAAACACGCCCCACCTCAGCTTGGCCCACTCCTCCGTCAACACCTGCCCTGGAACATTGTCAACCCTGTGACCAACTCCTACGCTAGACGGCACCAAAGTTAAACTGTTTTCGTTTAAAAAGCAACCCAAGAGGCTACATGCACAGATTTCAGGATAGCCTCTCCAGAATGGTGGCTCAAAATTTTACTGTTAAATTTAAATGTTTTATAGGTTGTATAAACTCTGTCATCACTGAATAATGCGAATACACACTATATATTTTCTCGCGCAGTCAATAAATATTGATTTTGAAGAAGATTTTGATTTTCGCAAAGATTTTGCCATTTTTTATTCCTTGTTCATAATAAAATACCAATGTTGACACGATTTTTACTGATGGTTTTGTGTGCTTATACACAAGAAATATTGACCATGTAAGTTCCTCCCTGAATCGTCGACTTCACTGCTAGAACAAAGGCCACAATATGCCTGGGATATAGACGTATGTGGCAGCTTTCTCAAAACCCAAATGTCGAGTACACAATGTGTCAACTTTGTGAAAGAGAAAACATGCACTCCCTTGAACATTATATTGTAGAATGTCCTATATTGACTGACTTTCGCCCTCCTGGGCTGAGGTACGCTGAACTCTGTAACTACTATATCAATACTGGAACACGATGCTATATTGGACTTGTACCCAAGATTGACCATGTAATGAATCAATTATAAAATGTATGTAATGTAACTATCTAACCTGAGCTTCTAAAAGCATCTTAATCCCCTTCAATGGTTAAGTGCTTAATAACACAATACTTTCTATAGCAGCTATCTTACCCTGTCAGAGTAGGAGAGACAATATATATATATATATATATATATATATATATATATATATATATATATATATATATATATATATATATATATATATATATATATATATATATTGTCGTACCTAGTAGCCAGAACGCACTTCTCGGCCTACTATGCAAGGCCCGATTTGCCTAATGGGCTGAGTTACCTACCTCTGGGTCCCCACCAGGTAACGAAGTGGGAGTGTGTGAGGTAGGCTGGAGTAACATGGGTGTAGAGGCCGGGGTGCCCACACTCCCCCATCTGGAGGGTGTAGGGCTGGTCCCCATAGATGCTGTTCTCTGGGGCCACGCGAATGTCACTCTCCTACAGGAAAATTGGAGTCGTTTTCAAAACTACGACTCAATCATATTATACACCAAACAATATACAATTTATGGTTACAAAATCTATTCTATGAATAGATATTTATATTTGATATTGTCAGGTGTGATATTAATGCATTTTGGAGAGAGCATAGTTATAAAACAGGAATATTTTATAGTATTTCACTGACCTGTCATAAGCTTGGCCAGCTTATGACAGGGCAGATACATGTCAACCAACCTTAAAGTTCTCAGCAGTGGTGGCATTGTAAACGTTACCCGTCATAGTCCAATATTTGGGCAAGACAATGGTAATATTTCTGAAGTAGATCTTGTGGTTGGAGATGTTGAAGAGGTGCTTCGAGGCATCTCTCATGGCGTCCTGTGGAAATACAACCCAGTCAGCAGTTACAGCCCCGCTCCTGTGCCGGGTAAGTCCACTACGGGCTCACCATAGCCCGTAGTGGTTTAGCTGAATCTAAAACAGCAACAACCCAGCCAGCCACCAGTCAAGCCGGTGTACACAGGCAGGCAGCCCATTCTCCTAGAATTTCCCAACAAGAAACTTTTCTCGCTCTCTTGAAACGTCAAGAGAGGGCTCACGCCGATATCAGGCGGACGAACATGAGGCGCTTGATTAATGCCCTCGCAGCTCTCATGCAAAAATGTTTGTGCATCCTGCTCTGAGGTCGCCAGTGTCGTCCTACAACACTGCCTCAACTGTCAATTGTATACTGATGACTCCTAGAGGATTATATATATATATGGGGATATACCTTCAACTGATTTAGAAATGGCAAATGAATTTAATAGTTTCTTTTCATCGGTTGGTGCTAATCTTGCCAGTAAAATCCCACAGACTCAGACACATATTAACACATATCTCTCAGGCAGCTATCCAAACTCTCTTCTCCTTTCACCAATCAGCCCGGCAGATGTTGTGTCCATCATACACTCTCTAAAAACCAAGGCAGGGAACACCAGTGAAATTCCGTCCATTGTGTACAAGAGAGCCTCCCATGCCCTTGCCCCACCCATAGCACTACTGTTCAACAAATCTATAGAGTGTCACACCTTCCCTGATATCCTCAAAAAAGCAAGAGTAACGCCAGTCCATAAAGGAGGCAATCCGGCGGACATAAACAATTATAGACCAATATCAAATCTACCCATCAAAAATATTTGAAAAAATTATTTACAAACAGCTCTATTCCTACCTCGTAAAATTCGACATACTCAGCCCCTGCCAGTTTGGCTTCCGGTCCCAAAAGAGTACCAATGATGCAATCATTAGTCTCCTTGACATTATCTACTCAGCCCTTGACAAAAATGAGTTTCCGATTGGACTCTTCATTGACCTAAGAAAAGCCTTTGATACTGTTAATCACAACTACCTCTTATTTAAACTCCAGCATTATGGAATCCGAGGCCTTGCCCTTGACTACATCCGATCCTATCTTAGTGACAGACACCAATATGTAACCATCAATGATACAACTTCTTCCACTCTACCAATTACCGTTGGAGTGCCACAGGGCAGCATCTTAGGACCTCTTCTATTTCTTATATATATAAACGATCTGCCTAATGTCTCTAATATTCTCAAACCTATATTGTTTGCTGACGATACTACCCTTATCTACTCAAACCTCAACCCACATACACTAAATAATGTTGTGAATAATGAATTAAAAAAAGTCCACTTATGGATGTCAACGAACAAACTAACATTAAACATCGAAAAGACTTACTACATCTTATTTGGAAACAAATCATCAAATGCAATTCAGCTACAGATAGACAACATTAACATCAGTAATAAAAATGATGGCAAGTTTCTTGGCCTATTCCTAGACAAGAGACTCAACTTCAGCACCCACATTCAACACATAACTAAGAAAGTCTCTAAGACAGTTGGTATACTCTCCAAAATCAGATATTATGTTCCTAACTCTGCTCTCCTCTCACTATATTATGCACTAATCTACCCCTATCTTAATTATGGTATCTGTGCATGGGGGTCTACCACTGCAAACCACCTTAAGCCCATCATCACACAGCAAAAATCTGCTATCACGGCACCAAAGTTAAACTGTTTTCGTTTAAAAAGCAACCCAAGAGGCTACATGCACAGATTTCAGGATAGCCTCTCCAGAATGGTGGCTCAAAATTTTACTGTTAAATTTAAATGTTTTATAGGTTGTATAAACTCTGTCATCACTGAATAATGCGAATACACACTATATATTTTCTCGCGCAGTCAATAAATATTGATTTTGAAGAAGATTTTGATTTTCGCAAAGATTTTGCCATTTTTTATTCCTTGTTCATAATAAAATACCAATGTTGACACGATTTTTACTGATGGTTTTGTGTGCTTATACACAAGAAATATTGACCATGTAAGTTCCTCCCTGAATCGTCGACTTCACTGCTAGAACAAAGGCCACAATATGCCTGGGATATAGACGTATGTGGCAGCTTTCTCAAAACCCAAATGTCGAGTACACAATGTGTCAACTTTGTGAAAGAGAAAACATGCACTCCCTTGAACATTATATTGTAGAATGTCCTATATTGACTGACTTTCGCCCTCCTGGGCTGAGGTACGCTGAACTCTGTAACTACTATATCAATACTGGAACACGATGCTATATTGGACTTGTACCCAAGATTGACCATGTAATGAATCAATTATAAAATGTATGTAATGTAACTATCTAACCTGAGCTTCTAAAAGCATCTTAATCCCCTTCAATGGTTAAGTGCTTAATAACACAATACTTTCTATAGCAGCTATCTTACCCTGTCAGAGTAGGAGAGACAATATATATATATATATATATATATATATATATATATATATATATATATATATATATATATATATATATATATATATATATATATATATATATATTGTCGTACCTAGTAGCCAGAACGCACTTCTCGGCCTACTATGCAAGGCCCGATTTGCCTAATGGGCTGAGTTACCTACCTCTGGGTCCCACCAGGTAACGAAGTGGGAGTGTGTGAGGTAGGCTGGAGTAACATGGGTGTAGAGGCCGGGGTGCCCACACTCCCCCATCTGGAGGGTGTAGGGCTGGTCCCCATAGATGCTGTTCTCTGGGGCCACGCGAATGTCACTCTCCTACAGGAAAATTGGAGTCGTTTTCAAAACTACGACTCAATCATATTATACACCAAACAATATACAATTTATGGTTACAAAATCTATTCTATGAATAGATATTTATATTTGATATTGTCAGGTGTGATATTAATGCATTTTGGAGAGAGCATAGTTATAAAACAGGAATATTTTATAGTATTTCACTGACCTGTCATAAGCTTGGCCAGCTTATGACAGGGCAGATACATGTCAACCAACCTTAAAGTTCTCAGCAGTGGTGGCATTGTAAACGTTACCCGTCATAGTCCAATATTTGGGCAAGACAATGGTAATATTTCTGAAGTAGATCTTGTGGTTGGAGATGTTGAAGAGGTGCTTCGAGGCATCTCTCATGGCGTCCTGTGGAAATACAACCCAGTCAGCAGTTACAGCCCCGCTCCTGTGCCGGGTAAGTCCACTACGGGCTCACCATAGCCCGTAGTGGTTTAGCTGAATCTAAAACAGCAACAACCCAGCCAGCCACCAGTCAAGCCGGTGTACACAGGCAGGCAGCCCATTCTCCTAGAATTTCCCAACAAGAAACTTTTCTCGCTCTCTTGAAACGTCAAGAGAGGGCTCACGCCGATATCAGGCGGACGAACATGAGGCGCTTGATTAATGCCCTCGCAGCTCTCATGCAAAAATGTTTGTGCATCCTGCTCTGAGGTCGCCAGTGTCGTCCTACAACACTGCCTCAACTGTCAATTGTATACTGATGACTCCTAGAGGATTATATATATATATGGGGATATACCTTCAACTGATTTAGAAATGGCAAATGAATTTAATAGTTTCTTTTCATCGGTTGGTGCTAATCTTGCCAGTAAAATCCCACAGACTCAGACACATATTAACACATATCTCTCAGGCAGCTATCCAAACTCTCTTCTCCTTTCACCAATCAGCCCGGCAGATGTTGTGTCCATCATACACTCTCTAAAAACCAAGGCAGGGAACACCAGTGAAATTCCGTCCATTGTGTACAAGAGAGCCTCCCATGCCCTTGCCCCACCCATAGCACTACTGTTCAACAAATCTATAGAGTGTCACACCTTCCCTGATATCCTCAAAAAAGCAAGAGTAACGCCAGTCCATAAAGGAGGCAATCCGGCGGACATAAACAATTATAGACCAATATCAAATCTACCCATCAAAAATATTTGAAAAAATTATTTACAAACAGCTCTATTCCTACCTCGTAAAATTCGACATACTCAGCCCCTGCCAGTTTGGCTTCCGGTCCCAAAAGAGTACCAATGATGCAATCATTAGTCTCCTTGACATTATCTACTCAGCCCTTGACAAAAATGAGTTTCCGATTGGACTCTTCATTGACCTAAGAAAAGCCTTTGATACTGTTAATCACAACTACCTCTTATTTAAACTCCAGCATTATGGAATCCGAGGCCTTGCCCTTGACTACATCCGATCCTATCTTAGTGACAGACACCAATATGTAACCATCAATGATACAACTTCTTCCACTCTACCAATTACCGTTGGAGTGCCACAGGGCAGCATCTTAGGACCTCTTCTATTTCTTATATATATAAACGATCTGCCTAATGTCTCTAATATTCTCAAACCTATATTGTTTGCTGACGATACTACCCTTATCTACTCAAACCTCAACCCACATACACTAAATAATGTTGTGAATAATGAATTAAAAAAAGTCCACTTATGGATGTCAACGAACAAACTAACATTAAACATCGAAAAGACTTACTACATCTTATTTGGAAACAAATCATCAAATGCAATTCAGCTACAGATAGACAACATTAACATCAGTAATAAAAATGATGGCAAGTTTCTTGGCCTATTCCTAGACAAGAGACTCAACTTCAGCACCCACATTCAACACATAACTAAGAAAGTCTCTAAGACAGTTGGTATACTCTCCAAAATCAGATATTATGTTCCTAACTCTGCTCTCCTCTCACTATATTATGCACTAATCTACCCCTATCTTAATTATGGTATCTGTGCATGGGGGTCTACCACTGCAAACCACCTTAAGCCCATCATCACACAGCAAAAATCTGCTATCAGAATAATAACTAACTCTGCTTTCAGACAACACTCAGCTCCCTTGTTTAAATCTCTAAACTTGCTAAATATTAACTCCCTCCACACATTCTCTTGTGTCAACTACATTTACAAAACCCTGTTCTTAAATGCAAACCATGCTCTGAAACTCTCCCTGGACAGATGTAATAGGACCCATTATCACCACACCAGAAATAAATATCTCTTTGATATCCCCAATCCTTGCTTCCTCTGACGACCTAATAATAATAATAATAATAATAATAACAATAATAACAGAAATAATAATAATAATAATAATATAATTAATAATAAAAATAATAACACAAAACACTGGACAAGTTAAAGTGTTACAGAGTGCGTAAAGTAATTATTTATTAAGACATTAATTCGGCACATCTTCAAGATAAGTGTCAATATATGATAATTAAGACAACACTGTTAAGATAACATAACCAAAACATCTCTAAAGGAACGCAGTCATCTTCAAAAGATAATGTTTATAGCATCACCTTCAGGGCCTGACAATCAGGAGGGCAACATCTTCCTCCCATCATTCAGAACAACAGTTTACAACCAGCACCTCTATAGAATACATGCAGCGATCACAATAGCGTGATATATCAAATCTAAGTCGTGGCGCAATCAACTAACCTTCGAAGCCTCATCACGGGCTTGATGAGGCTTCACAATTCACAATTCCTTTGTGGAATTATTCCCCTCTGTAGAGTGTTTGATACCGAAGGCCCCCACCTTGATCCTGTCGATGAGGCGAGGATCCTGGCGAACATCGGGAGACACGCCCACCACCACGCCCTCGTAGCCCCCGCCCTTAGCCACCTTCACCCGCGAAGTCGCCTCCACGGACGCCGCCGCCATCACCGCCAGCGCCAGACACGCCCACGGCCTCCAGGGCGACCGCGACGGAGCCCCAGCAAGCAGTGAGCCGCTCTCAGCCCCCATCCTATGGTTAGATAGTAAAGTTACGGTAATTATTGCATCCAAAAATTGAATAATGACGACTGTGTTCGACCAAGGTACTGATATGAACCAATATAGATCACGCTAGTGTTTGACTTAAGGCTTATCAGCCTCTGGAGGATTATTAAACTCCCAATACTGTAGTTTACTGACTAACTAGCAAGTATACTCTAGTCCTGAATATTGTCCAGAACAAAATTAATCACTCAGTGTATATACTGCGAAAAGCGGGAAACACATCTAGGCGAGTTTTACCCGTGTTTACCTGACGGCCACTATCTCTCTAGTGGCCTCGACGAGGACAGGAAGACGGTGGCTTGTCAAAGGTCTCCTATTTGTGCTGCTGTGGCCCTCGACCGTTCCTGGTATGAGAGCTAACTTAGCTCTCGGTGTTGGAGTTCAATGGGATGCTCTCGGACGCAGGTTCGAATCCTCGTCACGGCCCTTGTGGATTTGTTCATTCAACACCGGGCTTTCGTCGCCCGGTGTGGAACTTTCTCGCCGAGAAGCGGGTTACATCTCTCGAGTAATGAATGCATTAAGGGTTTTTCTACCATAAACATGTTCACTGGATTCAAGAGCTTATGGCCAATGTTTCTGGGTATCTGATGTACATATATATAAGTTGACCGGTCTTGCAGTCCAAGGATCGTGAGGATTGCTTCCCGTAAAGCCAACCTGTTCTCTGGATAGATGAGACAGAGCCAGTACAGGAATCCTCCGGAATTTGCAGAAAAAAAACTGTCATCTGAGATGAAACTCACTAGCAATAGGGAAGGGGAGTTGAATCAAGGGAGAATACGCAGGGAAACCAGGGATTTGGATGGTGATGTTAATTGATGGTGAAGATAAATAACGATAATGAACTCACGTGCAAAAGTCTACAGAACAACAGGAAAGAGTGTACTGCTCCCAGCAGCTGCTGGCTGACGACTGAGGCTGAGGCCGCCAGGTGTCTCTCAACACTGATGCCTGCGAATCCCCGGTTCATTTTAGTTCATTTATTACCCACCCATATCTATCCTGAGTGGCCCTATACTCATGCTGTGAGTGGTAGTAGGCCCCATACCCATCCTGTGAGTGGTAGGAGACCCCCATACCCATCCTGTGAGTGGTAGTAGACCCCATACCCATCCTGTGAGTGGAAGTAGACCCCATACCCATCCTGTGAATGGTAGTAGACCCCATACCCATCCTGTGATTGAGTGATAGTGGAAAAGATTACAGGGGTTCAGCAACTGAACCCAATATTCATTTAGCTATAAGCAAATTACAGAAGTGATGAGCTAGTTGTAGAGTTTGTTAAACTGCAGGCGATGAGTCACAATAACGTGGCTAACGTATGTTGACCAGACCACACACTAGAAGGTGAAGGGACGACGACGTTTCGGTCCGTCCTGGACCATTCTCAAGTCGATTTGTTAAACTATAAATCAATAACGGAGGCCCAGTTATTTATAGGTTGTCACAACTTCTCAGGTTGTCACAACAACTGCAGTTCCGGCGGCACCTGTGGACTTGTGTTGGGAACCATCAGTGTAAATAAACTAGTTATTTACTGGTGATTTCTGTGTACCAGTGTAAATAGTTTGAGCGAGGGAGCGCTCTATGTTTGTTTGCTCTATATCAGTTTGGCTTAATACATTGTACTTTGCCTCAAACTGAAGTATGGGTTGTTGTTGTTTTAGATTCAGCTACTCAGAACAAAAGTTCCAAGTAGCACGGGCTATGGTGAGCCCGTGGTGGACTTACCTGGCACAGGAGCGAGGCTGTATGTGTCTGTATGGGTTGTTGTTATAGATTCAGCTACTCGGAACAAGTTCCAAGTAGCACGGGCTATGGTGAGCCCGTAGTGGACTGGCTCAGGAGCAGGGCAAGTAGCACGGGCTATGGTGAGCCCGTAGCAGACTTACCTGGCACTGGAGCGGTGTCCCTGCTCTGATATGTGCTGTATAGATTCAGATTCAGATTCAGATTCAGATGTTTATTCAGGTAAGGAATATACATACAAGTGATGTTACATTAATGGATTGATATATAGATAGAGCTAGTACATACAATGCCTAAAGCCACTGTTACGCAATGCGTTTCGGGCAAATGGGTTGTTCTTTACTTATTATATTGGGTGGGAAGGTAGGGATAGTAATTGGGATAGGCTTAATCTCTTGTGGTGAGGGAAAGTGCCGTTGTTGGCTCTCTTGGCAGAGATCATAAACCTAATCTTGAGTTCAGTTGCAGGTTTTGTAATCCATTTTTAGGGATTTTAGGGATGATAAGGGCGCCTGACAGCTGGGTGGACAGCGCTTCTGATTCGTAGTCCTGAGGTTCCGGGTTCGATCCCCGGTTTAGGCGGAGACAAATGGGCAAAATGTTTCTTTTACCCTGATGCCCCTGTTACCTAGCAGTAAATAGGTACCTGGGAGTTAGACAGCTGCTACGGGCTGCTTCCTGAGGGTGGAGGCCTGGTCGAGGACCGGGCCGCAGGGACACTAAGCCCCGAAATCATCTCAAGATAACCTCAAGATATGATGACTTTTGATAAAGAAGGCTTGGACGGCGTCAGTGCAGAGGTTGGGATGTATTAGGCTAGGCATCTTGATACAATTAAAAATTTATTTTCAGTGATTCCATCACTTATAGGCATGGTATATTAAGTTTCTTGTTCATCGTATAGATTTAAAACTGGTCCAAACAGGGTTTCAATTTTAATACAGAAAAAATCGATTGTCCTCCAATTTCTTATTTACAGTAACCACACAATGGCTCCCTCCAGGACTCAATCCACGCAGGGGTAACTCAATCCGGCCGAGGGTAACACGGAATCCTGTACTGGTCCGGATAACTCATTATCGTCACTATGAAAAATTAGAAACGCAGATACAATGGTGAAAAGTGGAGGCGGATGTGTTGACAGATAGCGTGTGGTCAAATGATGTTGGCATGATGCTGCTGGTCTGGGAGGTCCGGGAAGATGGAATTGTATTAAAGTTCTTAAATGTTCCACTCGGGGAGTGTCAGGGGATAAGTTGGTGGTTGAAGTTAACACATTTTATGAGGGGTTGATTGATTGATTGATGAAGATTAAGCCACCCAAAAGGTGGCACGGGCATGAATAGCCCGTAAGTGGTGGCCCTTTTGAGCCTTTGCCTCGGGAGACATCTCCCGTCACGCAGGGTGCAGTCGCACCTCCACAGATCTCCCGTATCATCTATTGATACTGGTAATGGCTCAAATGGGCCACCACTTACGGGCTATTCATGCCCGTGCCACCTTTTGGGTGGCTTAATCTTCATCAATCAATCATCAAGCCTTTGCCAGTATCAATAGATGATACTGGAGATCTGTGGAGGTGCGACTGCACCCTGCGTGACGGGAGATGTCTCCCGTGTGCGGACTAAACATTACTTTCACTCCAAACATCTGCCACCTACTGGCTATTTATGCCACCTCTTGTGGTGCTTAATCTTCATCAGTCAAATCCCGTCTGTTACCTTTACTATGATGTCTGCTGTCTAAGATACCGCCTTCTTTATCCTCCTCAGACGGCTGAACACCATCATTATACCAATGCGTGCCACGTACTAGAGGTTGTTTAAAAGTCCTCAGCGGTATCGTAGTTTCCAGAGAGAGAGATGATGTACGTCGCCCCAGTCGTCACCATGCTGGTCCCCCGGCGTACGTAAACACGAACCTGTACATCTTTTCTCAATCTTTGGCGGCTTTGTTTACAATTATTAAACAGTTAATGAGCTCCGAAGCACCAGGAGGCTGTTTATAACAATAACAACAGTTGATTGGCAAGTTTTCATGCTTGTAAACTGTTTAATAAATGTAACCAAAGCCGTCAAAGATTGAGGAAAGATGTACACGTTCGTAACGGGTTTATGAATCCGGGTACAGTTTTTCTCAATATTTTATAATATAACAATTTTAATTGCTACATTTAGTCTTATTTTAAAAAGTAATTAATTATCAAAAGAAGGCGCCAAGCCGGGGAGACTATGTAGCACCATCAAGGTTGCAGGATGTTCAAAAGGCGTTATTTTTAATTAAATCGGCTAACTCTTATGTTTCACATTTTTAAGTCACCTTCGACGGTGGTAAAATTTTCTGGCAAAAAAAGTTAATTTGTGAACTAGTATTTTGTTTTTACTATGTAAACAAAACATTAGTTTAATACAGGTCATTGGAAATTATATGCAAAGCATGTTATATAATTAAGAAGGATTATTGTCCGTTACATTATTGGCGGGAAAAATAAAATTCAGAACACCTTTTTTTTGTGAACAAGTTTTTTGCGAATTTGTCCATTACAATATCAGATTTTGCTGAAAATTTTCACTTCATGCGCAAATCAGTAGGCCTTGCAAAATTTATAAATCATATTTCAAAAATGTTATTCAATTTTACAATATTCGAAAAGAAATCATGATTCGTGATTTTGGTTTTATAGTTACACAATACACTACTGTATTTATACATTTTTTGCAAACTATATAAAACTTCTTTTGTACTTTCCAGTGATACCAATTATATGACTTTGCAGTAATATTTGCTAAACAAGCGTACAAAATCAAACGACCAAAAACATTTTTTTTTTAACTAGTCTTAGTACCAAGCTTGTTTAAACAACTTAAATAATCTGAAATGATGTTCAGGAGAATCCATGATTCAGCCCACTTAAACAGCCTAGCTGACCAGACCACTCAGAAACTGGTCCTTTGAATCACTTAAGATAACCTCAAGGTAGGGTGGAGAAGAAAACCCAAATATACACTAATCACGAGAAAACTCAAGACATCCAGACTAGCCACATAATAGGCATGAAACAACAACCAACCAATTGGGGTGGAAAGTAGAGCGAAGGTCTCGCTTCGTGCAGGTCGGCGTTCAATCCCAGACCGTCGAAGTGGTTGGGCACCATTCCTCCCCCCCCCCCGTCCCATCCCAAATCCTTATCCTGACCCCTTCCCAGTGCTATATACTCATAATGACTTAGCACTTTCTCCTGATAATTCCCTTCCCATCTGTATTACGATCACCTGTTAACTTTTCATCACAACTGAATAATGTCCGATTGAAAGTCCTGCACTTTGTGGCCATACATTAGTACAATTTATATATATCGGTAATACTGTACAGTACAAATGTCAATAAAACCTATAATGAAATTCAATACAGCATATGCATATAAATATTTGGAAAAACAATTTAGTGTGTAAAGAGGTTGGGAGTCTACCACAAGCAGCAACATTTTGCCTGACCTTCTAGACAAAAAAATATTTTGTAAGTGAAGAAACTCCTTGGTTATCAAATAAAAATACATTTAAATTTATTTATATTGCAAAATATATTTGGGTTCCAACACATTATTTAGTATATCACAGATCATTAAAAAAAAATTGAAGGGATAAAAAAAAAAAATAGAGATGGGCTTTACCCATCTTAAATATACAAAAAGATGGTAAAACAATTAAGGCAAACAAATATTAAATTTTTTTAGTCAATCAGACATCCAATCCACTAATCTGAAGACAAAACATTGACAACATTTTGGTCCATCTGGGGCCATTATTGTGTAATCCTTTAGCCATTAATAAAAAAACATTTCACTAGAACTTAAAACCCTCAAAGAATGCCACTCAAAGTTCAAATGTAATTTAACAAGGCAAGATAAGGTAATTATCAGATGAAAAAAAGATACTATACCTTCATGATCTACAGTCCATAATAAGAAAATGCTGAGCTCTATGACCTAAACTTCTTGAAAAGAAAATGATGGTGACTGTCTTTCTTTGCTCCTCTTCTTCTTTCTCCGTAAATTGAGTCATCCGCACCCGACATTGATCCCATATTGCCCACCCGACGTTGAGATCCAGACATGCCACGCTCGTTAGACACACCTTCTTCATACATATCCGATTCCGAAGCAGCTAAGATTTGTTCCAGGAGCTGGACTTTTTCTTCTCGTGTTGTGTAGTGCAGCTGCTCGTCCTCCATGCCGACCATCTGGGTTGGTGTAATCACTTGGTATGCATAACCTTGATTAATCAAAAAACTTTGCCTTTTGCGCGAGTATCCCATCTCTCGTGTGTCCTGAGATAAGAGGGCATAAAAGAATGCGTTGAAATTTTCTGCGATAGCTCCTTTCTTGGCTCTCAGAATACGGCCCAATCTCTGAGCTTCCTGACGCCGAGATCCACCTTGTGAAGATATTTCAATTAAAACATTTGCTTCTGGAATATCAAATGATGTATCTGCTACTCGACTGAAGAATATTGTATTCACTTTTGGATTCAACTTGAAGTTCTGAATAATAGCCATTCGTTCTTTCTGCCCAGTCTTTCCACATATATAAGGTTTCTGCATAGTTTTCGCATAATGGATTAGTGCAAACACTTCATCAATAAAAACGATTATCTTGTCATTGCGATTTTCATGGTATTTGATAAGGAATTCACATGTTCTGAATTTATTGGGATTCATAGCACAGAGCAATTTAATTTTTTGGTCTGATACTTTTGCCATAAGATATTCTCTGTAAAACTCTGGGGTCATAGGGCACCATACCTCGGCACACTGCACCTTTGCAATGAATCCCTCTTTCTGCAGTTCCAACCAATTGGCTTCATAGAGCTTAGGACCAATCAGGAAATTGAGGTCAGCAATCTTATCATCCTCCCTAACAAGTGTTGCAGTTAGTCCCAGCTTACAATGTGATTGAACAATTGTGAGAACTCTTCGAAACATTTTGGCAGGAATAGTATGCACTTCATCAAGAACCATTATACCCCACTCTTGCTCCTTCAGCCAGTTCATCGTCTGTTCGGCTTCATATGCACGCTTCTGATTATGGGAAATCATGGCATACGTAGTCACCAAGATACCAGCATTGAATGGCTTATCTTTAGCATCAGAGGTAAACCTACAAATCATATCATCTGTAGCTGTGGACCACATCTTAAACTGCTGTTTCCACTGTTCTACAGACACACCAGAGTTGCACAAAACAAGAGCCTTCTTGTTAACAGTGCAGCAAGCTGTGACACCAACTAAACTTTTACCTGCTCCACAGGGAAGCACAATTATACCCGATCTTGCACGTCCATTTCCGAACATTTTTCGTAAACTTTTCTCCTGGTAGGGTCGTAACACAGCAGATGGTTTAAGATCGATTTTAATATCCTCATTCACAGTATCATTTTTGAAGTCGTACTCAGCCAGCAATGGGTAATCAAGTCCTATGCATGTTTTCTGTAGCAATTCAATTTGATCTTGATTCACCTCAAAAGATAAAGTCTTAAGATTTGTATCTTCATCCTCCTCCTCATCAGCTTTATCAATTTTATCATAAAAATCTGTAATATCTTCGGGCACAGCTCCATCGCCTTCCTTGTTGACACCATTAGCATCAGCACCATCCGTCTTGCCATCAGCCTTCACGTCCTCCGAACCCCCTGCCAGCTGAGCTTGGTGACTTGTGAACATGATAGCTTGGGATTTTTGCTTCTCTGTGCTCACTATTCCTTCGCTAGGACTCAACATACACTCCTGGATGGTTTGATGTTTGATAAGTTTTTGGATAACATCTGGGAAATCACTTTCAACATAATACCGATTTTTCTTCAACACCAATTTAACCTTTCCATATGAGAGCGTGCAACTTTGTATAAACTGACAGATTCCAGGGGGTAAGGTTGTTTTGCAAAGTCTCTTGAGATATTCAATAATATCATGGGTCTGTAAACCAACACTTACAGCAGCATAGAGCGAGTATGCTGTCAATTTGTATTCGTGCACGTTCTCTGGACGACACACAGGTTCAGCAATGGTGATAAGGAAATCTTTGGCATGTTTATAAACAGGAGAAAAGGATTCCAAGAAGATGTGGCCATTAGTTGCAATCCAGAGTGGGCGTGTTTCATGGTCTTCTCTTAGCTCCATTTGTGATCGATAGTCAAAAGCTCCATATTGGTCTTTAGGAGTTGACTGGTCTCCACGTTCCTGCAAAACAAATACTACATAAAATATACTATATAAAATTTAAAAACAGTTCATATTAAGACATGTATTAAATTTTATAGAACCCATTAATATACCAAATTCATTTTACAGTAGTGCTAACCCCCAAATCCAGACCTCCCTAATACAGACTCCTCTAAACAACAGATCAAATTTGGCTACTAGAATACCCTCTCCAAATTCCAAATTTGTCAAAAAAAAAAAAAAAAATCCAGAATTCTGGAGGACCCTGTGAAATTTAATTTTAATCCAGATCATTAGTACATTTTAAAATACTGAACAAGTTAGAGGATGTTGATCCGAACAATTTCTTCAAATGGTCAGATGTAACACAAACAAGGAGCAACGGTTTCAAGCTCAACAAGCCACAATGTAGGACTGAGAACAGGAGATGCTTTTTCACCCAAATGGGTTATAAACCCATGGAACATTCTACCTGCTGAAGCCGTAAATACCAAAACGCTGTTAAATTTTCAAGACCAACTGGAAAAGATCATCAAGGCATATGGAGGGGTTCGAGACCCATACAGCCTAGGTGAATGGAATGTTTATTTCCACGGAAGTGTGGTAGGCAATTTAAATGGATGGGGGGGGGGGATGGAACCTTCAACAAGCCACCGGCTTCCTATCCTCGTCGAGCCACTAGTGTTAGTGACCCTCAGGTAAATTCGGGTAAATTAGGAAAAGTAATTTCCTGCAGATCATGTTTTTCCAAATTATTATATCTTGTGTTTTTTGTTGTTCACTTGTGGATGTTAGAGGAAGTGCTACAAATTTTATTCTGAAAATGGCTATAAAAATTGTATCACCTTAATTATTCATTAAAATGAGTTTCCAAGATATTTCATAGAAAATCTTTAACAGTTTTGGGTGTGGGATAGTTAATGGGTTTGGTTCATGGGGATTCATAGTTTTATTTTGGAAACATAAGCTTTAAGGAGCAGGATTTTGAGGAATATTGGCAGTGAGGTTATCTTGAGATGATTTCGGAGCTTTTTAGTGTCCCCGCGGCCCGGTCCTCGACCAGGCCTCCACCCCCAGGAAGCAGCCCGTGACAGCTGACTAACACCCAGGTACCTATTTTACTGCTAGGTAACAGGGGCATAGGGTGAAAGAAACATTGCCCATTGTTTCTCGCCGGCGCCTGGGATCGAACCCAGGACCACAGGATCACAAGTCCAGCGTGCTGTCCGCTCGGCCGACCGGCTCCCAGAGAAATCTCTGGGAGCCGGTCGGCCGGTCTCTGAGGGAGAAATCTCTTTATAGACAGGTTTTCCTGGTAGTTATCCATCATATGACAGGTTGAAATGAATTTTTCACTGTGTAATTTGCCCATAAAGTATCTTCATTAATCAGATCTAGTTATTCCTCGATTAGCTAATACCTATTTTAAACTATTACCTCAACATTTTGTTTAGAAGCTTGTGGAACACCTTCCAGTTCTGCATTCTCCTCTTCATCAGAGAATCCATCGTCACGCCGGCGCTTTTTACCCTTTTCGTAAAATTTGTGTCTTTTTCCCATTGCAATCTGAAATAGATGTAACAACATTAGGTAAGAACTGTACCTGCATATTATTCTTGCAATTATTATGCCAACTTGGGCTAATTTCTCTTCCTTGTAATGATAATACAGTACTGAAAATTGATTTTCATGTACAGTACTGTTACATTGGACTATGAAAACCAAATACTGTATCCCTTTTCCTGCATAAAATAAATTAATGACTACAATTTTAAGCAATAGCTAAGGACTATAGTGAACAATGTAGTATAATTGTTAAATTAATACCCAAAGTATTATTGTTAATGATTACCAAACCACACACCAGAAGATGAAGATACGACGACGTTTTGGTCTGTCCATCTTGAGGTTATCTAAAGATGATTTTGGGCTTTTTAGTGTCCCCGCGGCCCGGTCCTCGACCAGGCCTCCACCCCCAGGAAGCAGCCTGTGACAGCTGACTAACACCCAGGTACCTATTTTTTCTGCTAGGTAACAGGGGCATAGGGTGAAACAAACTATGCCCGTTGTTTCTCGCCAGCACCTGGGATCGAACCCAAGACCACAGGATCACAAGTCCAGCGTGCTGTCTGCTCGGCTCCCAGTCCAGGCCATTATCAAGTCCATTGACAGGGTCCCCTGGTTGGATCAAAATGTTGTTATAGTCTCCATCTTCTGGCATGTGGTCATCATATCTTCAGCCACGTTATTGTGACTCATCGTCTGCGTATCAGTCATTTTTCACATCCCTAGGATGATGTCTAGTTACTGGACATGTGAAGGTATCAACATTTATAGACAAAAATGAGCCATTTATTGAAATGAAATATCCTTTCTGGTGGTCCGCTGTTGTTCCTCAGCCTTCATTTAATACAGTCACACTAATGACTAAAGTAAATGTTTAATGTAAAATAATGAAATGTGTAATGTGTAATGAAATGTTTAATGTAAATACGCTGATATGGTTTTCAAATATGAAAGAGGCTAGGGCAAAAAAGCAATTTTTTTTTTATAAATGTATTTAAATCAGCAAAAGCATTTTTTGTTTATTTAGTGAGTAGGAAAAGAGCAATTTAACCAAAACATTCTGGCTACTCTATTATGACAAACACATACAGTAAACACTGTCTATATGTAACACTAATAGCAAACTGGCAAATAATACTACAAGATAAAAATATGAGATGCAAACTTATTATATAATTAATGCATGAAGCAAGTGATGGAAAATTTTGTCGTCATTTTCTGACCGACTTCAATACATTGCACCACGTAATATTCACAGAAAAATAATTGTTTATTACACAAAGCTAGCTAGGCAACAGTTAATATATGTGGCACATATACTTTTAATATTTATTAATTGTACCGTAATACTTGCATCTGAACTCAGTTTTACACCACTGAAATGTTAGCTTTTTACAAGTAAATATTTATTCACATTCTTGCAAGAAGGTGAATAAACTGTATTGTTTTGTACTGCAAGACAAGTGTTCTTGTCTTGCAATGCATTTGTATTGCAAGATAGCAACACACACACACAATTACAAAATGATTCTTATGAACGAGGCCTACTGTGAACAAAGTTACTATCAATGTGCAGACAACACTACATGTGAAAAGCCCATAGACAATTTGACAGCATGACGTTATCATGGCTTCAAAATAACTCGTATCGACGAATAAATATATATTGATATATTTACTGTCCCTTCGAAATTTGGTACATTAGAGGGTCGAGTAAGTAATTATCAAATGAAGGCACCAAAAAGGCTCGTATCATAGAAGTAACCTTTGGCCCTTACCAAAGCACATGAACTGTGAAAGGCAATAAGTCACTACAAGCTGTGGTGTAATATTTCCACAAGCATGCATCACACACACAAGGGCTACTCAACTAAAGCGTTAACAAGTCTGGAGGCTGAAATATTGGTTTAACCTGACTGTCTTGGGCCGCCATGGCCCCCAAATGTGATCCGATTTTTTTTCCCCCCCTTCAAGTCCGCGGAGGGGATCTTGGCAGGTGATCAGTTTAACAACATCATGCAGCACACGCCTTAAACATTGACAAGTATTGCACCGGCATATTCAGCGACCAGGGACTCGAATATAACCCATTACGTTAATAAAACAGCGAGAACATCTTACGGTGGAGCTCCGCCTCTGACACTTCCTCACCTACAACCTACAGTAACACTCTTCTCCAAAACGGTCCCAGGATGTGAGCCCGTGACGTCTCAGTGACGTCACATACCTCGCATACAGCAGATATAAAGCCAACATTGATAGTTTATTTTAGTTATTTTAACTTAGTTTGCGTCAGGTTGGTTTTTAGATAAATTAGTATCGGTTAGGTTACGGTTAGATTATCGGTTAGGTTAGGGTAGCGTAATTGAAAGTGCAACAATGACGTAGAACAATATAGTTTTTGGCTCCTTTTGAACCCCATAACTAATATATGATTGCTTTTAAGAAAATTTGCTATTTAAACTCTGTATTACATATAAAAATAAAACAATATTAAAATATAAAGCAATATAATTCATTTAAATGGCACCATTACTTTTTATTTATGGTGGAAAGTTAAGAAGAAGAGATGAGAATCGCAAGTTTGTTTACGGTGAGCCATGAGTGTTTGTGATGGTCAGCTGACGCGCCCTGTGTCTCCAGGCGTTCCTTGCTCCTTCCTCGTGTATACATAGGTAAGCAGACGCGTGTATGTACACGTGTATACATAGGTATGCAGATGCAAGTAGGTTAGCAGGTAATGGCTATTCCAGGGTTTGATCTGTAGAGTCAAGGACATTTGTGAGGAAGTGTGGGAGTGGTTGTGAATACTTTGAGTTCAAAACCTGGCTTAAACACGGTCGTAGGGCATACGTAAATCTGTGTATCTATGTATTTACGTATGCAGGTTAGCTTAGCATTTTAAAAGCACCGAATCACCTTCTGTGGCTGATTGTTCAATAAACCCTTGAACTATATGTTTAACACATCTCTAACCCTGTCCATGGAGGACAGAAGAAAATGTATATATGCTGGTTAGTATTGTAAATGTGTGGCCACGTCTGTGGTAGGAAAAAAAAAAAAACGGTCCTCACATATCCTTCACCAAGTCTTCTCACTTCCTACACAGTCCTCAAACATCCTTCACGGAGTCCTCTCACTTCCTACACAGAGTCCTCACTCTGCCTACATGTAATCTGGTCGGCTGTTCTGTGTATTGAGTCACCTTTGTCTAACAAACACCTTCTTCCATTAATTCAAGGTTTGCACTGCTAGACTCTACCCTTCTGATCTACCAGAAGTTATGTTATGTTGCAATCTATACTGTTAAGGTTATGTTATTGTATTTGTTACTTGTTTCTCAACAGATGGCATCTTTGGGTCGTGAGCATCATATTGGTGTAACTATTCCAAGTACAGAGCAATGTGATGGCGTCACTTTGTATAATATTATCTTGAATGTGGGACCTGCTCAGTGGTCTGTAAAGCAGCGCTACAATGCCTTTGCCGAGCTTCACGATAAACTTGTCGGCAACCATGGGGTTGCTAGAGACCTTCTGCCTCCCAAAAAGATCATCGGCAACAAGGATCCTTCTTTTATAGAAAAAAGAAGAGCTGATCTACAACTCTACTTACAGGTTTGTATAATTTTAACATATTATAAAGTTATATAGTTGTTGAGTATCTGTTTTTTGAGTACAAAATTTGCAGTGTCTGTGTGATATATATAAAGAACAGCTTTGCATTATTAGTTTGAAATATTCAAAACTTTTTGAATGGTTATACAATGGAAAATCTTTTTGTTAACCTAACCCACAAAAATGAAATGAAGTGAAAGTGACATAGTTTTGGTCCATCCTGACCCTCATCAAAATCTCTGTGGTGTAGTGGTAAGACACTCACCTGGCGTTCCGCGAGCGCTCTGTCATGGGTTCGTATCCTGGCCGGGGAAGATTTACTGGGTGCAAATCCTTAACTGTAGTCTCTGTTTAACTCAACAGTAAGATGGGTACTTGGTTGTAAAAACGATTCTTCGTGGGGGGTCGTATTCCAGAAGGCAGTGCTGGTCTGTGTTTTAGATTTCTCTTTGTCCTCCACCCTTTTTGCCTTTTTTTGCTTCCTGTGGATGCTGTGTCCTGTTCTTTGAGCTGCTCAGTTGTCTGTTTTTGCAATGGGGTTTTGTCCCCACTGTTTACGGGAGGCAGTTTTGGAGTAAGTCCTTGCCTGTTATTGGTTGGGACGGACTTCCAGAGGAGTCAAGACTCTTAGGCCATAGTGCTTGCTTTGGATTTCACCCCTTTAGTTTGGCATCACTCGTACATCACAGAAGGGTGCATTGGCTTGGGAATTTCATGCTATGGCCCTTTTGCAGTTCACCACTTTGAGGGCACTATGGGAGGACATCTGGCCCGTTTTACATCTTGGTCTCACAATGCATTTGCTTTCTGTGTAGTGTCTCAGGGCCTACAGTGGAGGTTGTCCTTAACCCCTCCTTTGGTGTTGGGGGATCAAGGGCCTGAGGTCTTATCCATGGGTCGTCACCGTCGTTGCGGAATGGTTGGATGCTGGAGTGGTCGAGTTAATCCCTGCCCTGCAGTTGGTGTGTTGGTTGTTCCTGGTCCCCCAAGCAGGACTTGCTAGACCATTGGTACATTCATGACCATTAGGGTTGAATAACTTCATTCCTTGACCAACTTCCTGCAAAACCATCTTAGTTTTTTTTTTTTTTTTGAGATATAGACAAGAGTTGTTACATTCTTGTACAGCCACTAGTATGCGTTGCGTTTTGGGCAAGTCCTTAATCCTATGGTCCCTGGAATACAACCCCCACGAAGAATCATTTTTACAACTAAGTACCCATTTTACTGTTGAGTTAAACAGAGGCTACAGTTAAGGATTTGCGCCCAGTAAATCCTTCCCTGCCAGGATATGAACCCTGGACAAAGTGCTTGCGGAACGCCAGGCGAGTGTCTTACCACTACACCATGGAGACTGGTAACCAGATAGCTCAGGTCTACTCTACCTGGTATTGCAGATCGATTACCAGTTTGTGTCAGAGGAACTTCAGGACATCTATTGGCATGTTCCAATTTATCCCCAGTTCAGGGACTGGCTATCTTTAGTGGTGGAATGTCAAGCTTAACGCTACTGGGTTCACCTATTTGGCTTGAATCTGTCTCCTCGGACATTCACTAGTATGGCGTGTGTAATGGTTTGTCACCTTGTGGTTTGTTAGGGGTTCACACCTTAGCCCACCTCACGACTGGTTGGTTTGGGTTCCTAGCCAGTCTGAATGTCTAAATGGAGGGGATCTTGTTCTTTCCTAGCTTGCTAGGTTCAGGTTGTTGGTGAATTGGCAAAAGTCTCATTTGGTTTTGTTGCAGCTTCAGACCTGTTTAGACCAGGTTTAAGATTCTTGGTCATCTTCCCTCTCCCTGTTGCCTGCATCTCTGCTTCACTTAGAAGCTCGTTTTCAGCCAGTGGTAAAGAGTCCACAGGACCACCTGTCTTTGGCTTCCTTCCAAATGTGTGTATTTTGATTTGAACTTTGTTATAAAATTCAAACATTTTAACCTTAGAAGGTGAAGGGACGACAACGTTTCGGTCCGTCCTGGACCATTCTCAAGTCGATGGACCATTCGCAATCGACTTGAGAATGGTCCAGGACGGACCGAAACGTTGTCGTCCCTTCACCTTCTAGTGTGTGGTCTGGTCAACGTACTTTAGCCACGTTATTGTGACTCATCGCCTGCATTTTAACTTTCTTCTTATTTATCTCCTCTCTTAAAAATAAATTTGTACCATTTGCATACATTGTAGAAGTCGCCCAATACTTTTATAATTCTTATAAATTCAAGTTACCTGTACTATGATGTCTCCCATTCTCTAACCTCTCTTATATCATAATGAATAGTGCATGTGTGCAAAATGAGTAAGGGATTTTCTAGATATGTATTTTGTCATAGTGTGAGCTTTATCAACTTGATATTACCTTCTTTCAGACCATCATAAACTTTATGCACCATGCATTACCTCAAGAATTGGTAGAATTTCTTGACTTTCAACACTATGAACTGACACACCTTCTTCAGTCGCTTGCAAGACATTTCTTCAGTGAGGGTGACAAACTACTCCTTAACTGCCAGGCAGTAAACTTCACACCTTTGCAGGTAAGCAAGTAAATGTATATTTTTTGTTTGTATTTCTTACCTGGATGCTATATCAGCTTACACATCCTTGAAAATGTACCCTCATGTCATTAACTATTAACACTATTAACTGAATGGTGTAAATCAACTTCCCCATTCCACATACTAGAAATTGCTAAATTTGCTAAATACAAAAAAAAAAAAAAAAAAACAGGCATTGTGTGTAGATAAAAAGCTCTTATACAATGTGTAGTTCTTCCCAGGGCTTAATTTAAAATTCAACTTGGCAAATGCAACTCTATTCTAGATGTGACAGGGCTCTTTTTTTTCTAGATGTGACAAGGCTCTTTTTCTAGGAGGGCTCGTAAGGAGGCTCCCTGTTACTAGCAACCTGGATATTTCCACCCAATTCAAAACCTACCAGGCCCTTACAAGCCATTGTAAGCTTACTGGAGACCAGAGACCGAAACCTGGCCCCTGGTAGGGTTCTTCATGCACTGGCCCTCCAATGCTTCTCTCTCTGGATGTGAATTTAAATAATACGTCTTGGTTTTGTTGTATTCTGATGGCCATTGTTACTGCCTCCACCATGCTGCCTGCTGGGTGGGGAATACCATCCACCCTGAAGCCCATGCTTCCTCTTGGGACTCAGCCTTTCAGGTAGCTTCAGCTTTAAATGGAGAGGTTTATACCATGTACATTGTTTGCAGCTCATTGTCAATGTGATTGTCGTGGTGTTAGCTTCTTTGTCTTTCTATGACTCAGATTTGGAACAGGTGGTAGTGTCCACCTGCTCCAAGCTCCATCTCCTTTCCAGGCCTGTCAGATGTTGTTCGGTGGGTTTTGGGATCTTCCTCGTTGCTTCAGGGTTCAGAGTCCAGGGATGTTTGGGTGAGGTTGGGCCTTCTTGGGGAATCTTCCCTTCCACATCGTGGTGGAGGTGGTTGAGCTAACACTTCCTGCCAAGAGTTCACTGTCTTCTATTTTTTGTGGGATATTATGGCCATAATCTTTTCCTGTGGGTGTAGACACTTTTGTCCTCAACCATTGGTGTGGGACAACGCTCTACCACATTGAGACAACGCCCCAGAGCCTTCATTTCCTGGAGTGACTGGGGTTGGGTGGAGCCTGAGGAGTCCTTGGGTGCCCTTCAACCAATAATGTGGATTCTCTCTGCAGAGGAGTACAGGGGTACCTCGGTTTAAGAGTTTAATCCGTTCCTGGAGACAGCTCGTAACCTGAAAACTTGTAAACCGAAGCTAATTTCCCTATAAGAAATAATGGGAAATGAATTAATCCATTTGTGACTACCCAAAAACCTCATTTCAAATTAAATTTTATACCTAATTCATCCAGATCTACACTACAAAAGTATGTTCAAGTTATTACTTACCCTTGCTGATGACTCCTGTTGGTGTATGGAAGATGGTGAGGCAGGGGGAGGAGGAGAGGTGTTACTTTTTGGAAAGGGAGTCCCCTTCCATTATAACATCAGGCAGTAAAGATTTTTCTGGTGTGCACTCTCTGGCATGTCTTGCCTGCACACCACTAGGTCCTGGTTGTGGCCTTCTTTTGAGTTTGGGTTGGCCACTTCTTTCTGTTATGTTACGAGGCCCCTGATTCATCCTGACTTGTGGACACCCAAGGACTCAAGTAGCATGTAGTAAGCATGATCATTTTAACATGTAATGGGCTGGTACTAAGGTTTGAGGATTTTGGCATTTCTAACACGGTATGGATGGCATAATATCTTGTTAATGGGCCTTGGCCGAACCATGCTTGTTTGGTACTGGGCAGTGTTATCCGGCACTGATTCCTGCTTCTTTGGGGTTTCTTGCATATGTCCTCTTTTCCCCAACTGTGAGTCCCATTTTTGCTTTTGTTCTTTGTGGTGAGATAGCTACAGAAAGCCACTGTGGGAGCTTTCCTAGAAAACAAGTGTTATCTTGAGGTTATCTTAGATGATTTCGGGGCTTTAGTGTCCCCGCGGCCCGGTCCTCAACCGGGCCTCCATCCCTAGGAAGCAGCCCGTGACAGCTGCCTAACACCCAGGTACCTATTTTACTGCTAGGTAACAGGGGCATACGGTGAAAGAAACTCTGCCCATTGTTTCTCGCCGGCGCCTGGGATTGAACCCAGGACCACAGGATCACAAGTCCCGCGTGCTGTCCACTCGGCCGACTGGCTCCCTACTCGGCTGACCGGCTCCGGTGTTAAATGTAATGAAATTCCACTTTCTAGTCATTAGGCTATTAGGAAATAGCCTAATGACTGTGCACCTAGTTTTTAAGAGTTGTTCATATTTACATTGGTGTTTGTTTTGTTTCACTCTGCCTTTCTGTTGCCTTATTCTCTCAGTTCAGTTAGTCAATCTTTGACGGCTTTGGTTACATTTATTAAACAGTTTACAAGCATGAAAACTTCCCAATCAACTGTTGTTATTGTTATAAACAGCCTCCTGGTGCTTCGGAGCTCATTAACAGTTTAATAATTGTAAACAATGCCGCCAAAGATTGAGAAAAGATGTACAGGTTTGTAAGTGCTTGTGCAACTGCTTCGTGAATCTGGCCCCAGGTTTTGGCCTCTGGTCTCTGGTAAGCTTTTTACGAATCACAAGGGCCTGGTGTAACATGTAACATGGTGTGTGGGGCTATACAGGTGTTTAGCTAGAGTGAGTCACTGAGGGACCTTCTATGGGGGACCCAGAAATGCCTCTACAAAGAGGCATTTCATTACATTCAACATAAATTATTGTTTATATTGGTAGAACTTGCTTATCATGGTAAATGAATTTTTTTTGTAAAACAAGTATTCCTGCTTGTTGAAGCCAAAGGATTAAGCAGGTAAGTCTCTCTCTCACATACATGTGTCTGCATGATTTTGAAACCATGTTGAAGCAAATACCACAAAATTGATTTGATATCATAAATTTGCATTCTCTCCTTTTGGGGAGGGCTTTCTTCAGTGACTTCCTGAGGCAGTTAGCCTAGGGAGCCACCGAAAGAACTCGCCAGAAAGAGGCATTCTATCATTGAATGCTGATTTTTTTCTGTTTTGGCTTTTGATGTTCCAAGGCTGGTGGAACCTTTGGGCCCTAATAAATTTTGTATTCCACAGCTGCATGCCATCTCCTACCGGCTCAAAAATCCTCTTCCTACCAACGTTGCATCAGAGCAAGAGACAGATTTCAGTCATGTGGTTGACTTTGTTTCCCAGGTTCGACATTTGGTCATCGAAGGAAGCAATTATTGTTTAAGGTGAATAGATAATTTTCTTTGTACTTCATTTATTTTTATTTTATCTTCTTGACCCTTAAACACTCCAGTCATTATCTGCCATTACCTCCTGTATTTGAATTGCCAAATGTGATTTATAAATTAGTTTTGTGAACTATTTTTTTTTTATCATGTACACAATGATGTAGAACTTTTAACCCCTGCTCTGTGCCCTTGTTTATAGCTGACAACATGCTGGTGTGCGGAAAAAAATTCTGCCTAATATTGTTTAATTGAGTTCTATGATCAGGGAAGAATAAAAAAAAATAATTGTATGTAACGTTGGCTGGGTGAAGCCAGGAAGTATCTCGATGACATCACGAGTCATGAGCATTCGCAGAGTAATCGCCTTGGGGTGGTTGCCTCGGCCAGGCGAGGGGAAAACAAGTTGCTTCGGCCAGGCGAGAGGCAAACAAGTTGCCTCGGCCAGGCATGGGGCAAACGCCAGGACCCTGGCATTTGCCAAGGTCCTGGCAGCCCGTTTCCTAATCAGTATATCCCTGGTCCCTGTCAAGCTTGTGTTTTGGGTTGGTCAGGTTTCCTATCCCAAGCTCTCTTCGTGAGTTGTTTTCACTCTTGTCTTTGGTAAGTCCTTAGTTTTCTTTCTACTTTGTTGTTAGCTTCAGGGAGTCACTGTCTGGCCCCACCATAAAATTAGCATTGATTGTTATAAAATGCCTCTTTATGGTAGGGCCTCAGTGGCTCCCTCCTCCCTCCTTCCCCCCCCTCTTAAGGTCTATCGGTTCAAGAGCTTTCAGCTGTGGACCGAGGTTCTGATGACTTGAAAGTTGGGAGCTCCTGTTGGTGGTTAGCCATAACTAGTTGGGAGGACGGAGGAGGGGGTTGATCTAGCTATTTAGTCAGTTACTTGTGGAATCATTTGCTGCTTCAGTTTTTTCTTTGTGTGCCTTTCAGTTGTCTGTATCTTATCTTGAGGTTATCTTGAGATGATTTCGGGGCTTTTTTAGTGTCCCCGTGGCCTGGTCCTCAACCAGGCCTCCACCCCCAGGAAGCAGCCCATGACAGCTGACTAACACCCAGGTACCTATTTTACTGCTAGGTAACAGGGGCATAGGGTGAAAGAAACTCTGCTCATTATTTCTTGCTGGCGCCCGGGATCGAACCCAGGACCACAGGATCGCAAGTCCAGCATGCTGTCCGCTCGGCCGACCGGCTCCCCGATTATTGTATCATATTGCAAAGTATTGCTTCACTTAGTTTCTGGATGTTTTCTTGATGAGGGTGATTGTAACAATCTCCTGTTTCCTGTGCCTCTGTGGCGCCAGTAGGCCATTCAGAACTCTGAATGGCCTACTGAAACATCATTCAGCTGATGCGACTCATCTGGAGCTATATCAGCGAGCCAGCTTCAGGGAGTCACCACAGTCCTACCAGAAAAAGGCAATTCATGACATTCAATGCTGGTTTTATATTTTAATATTACTTATTATATAAGATAGCTTTCTATAATACAGTACTGCATATAAAATTAACTAATTTATCACTTTTCTAGCAAAGCAGATTGAGTCATGCTCGTACTGCATATAAAATTAACTAATTTGTCACTTTTCTAGCAAAGCAGATTGAGTCATGCACATTAACCATCCTTCTGTTTTTGCAGAACAAGCAACATCATCCAAAATAATCTTCCCTACACCCTGAACACATTCAAGAATGTTGAGAGACTAACACTGAAGAACGCCAGTGTTTCTCAAATAGGTCATCTTGGAGCAGTTAGAAGGACTACCAAATATTTGCAAGTGAAGTACAGTGGCATGGTGCAAATGTCTGATGTTCTCCTCTGTGATGCCGTATACAAAGAAAGTGTTGATGGCACTGACCCCTACAGGTGGTTGTTGCTTCAGGATGTTGATGTTAGCTGCAACCAGATCACCCATATTGATGAGTCGGTTGCTCTGACGCCTAATGTTGAAAAGCTAAATCTTAGTTCTAATAAGTTATCATCAGTGGAATGCTTAACTAAGCTACCACATTTAGTATCACTTAATCTGTCAAATAATCTTTTCACCACTTTACAAGATATGCACACCAAGCTTGGTAATGTGGTTGATCTAGATCTGTCACAAAATAATCTGTCCTCTTTAAAAGGCTTAAGTAAGCTCTATTCGTTATCATCACTTAATGTTTCGACTAATAATATCTGTGAAATATCAGAAGTCAGTCATATATCTCGTCTTCCTTGTTTGGAGACTCTAATCATTACAGGTAATCCTGTAGCAACAGTAGTGGATTACCGTACGAAGGTACTTGAGCTCTTCGGCCAGCGGGTGTCAGAGATCTGTCTGGATAATGAACGGCCAACTCAAAAAGAGTTGGAATTTGTAGCAGTCCTGCAGGCCATCAGGGCATCAAGAGAGGGACGGCTACCTACTCTTAGTATATCTAGTCCAATTCCCATTAGCACAAGCACTCTATCTTTTGATCGACCTGATATGGCAACAGCTGTCAGTGAATCTTCCAATAACAAATAATATCTTAGAAAGAATAATTAGTCTTTGGGAGATAATTCATCAATTGGAAGGATTGTTAAAATTAATTTATTTTTTACACAAAAGGAGAAACTGTAAGATTCAAAATCTTCATAAAAGTGCCATGTGATTTATTTTTTCTCTGATGACAGCAGTCCTTAGTTTGCTAACTAATGATTAGGTTTATACACAGAAGTAATGACATGATAACTTCGGGAAGTCATTTACTCAGTATACGAGTTTTTGATACTAGTTAACTGGAAGATTATCCATGGCATAGTATAAGGTTGAAAACATTTGCCGATTCTCCTCAGATCTATATTTATATATTTATTTTAAACTCTTTAATTCATATATATATATAAGTACACTGTGTATGTGTATGTATATACACTAATATTTTGAAAGCCTTTGTTGTAGATGTGTGTTGTTGTATTTGACTGAATGGGTGAGAACAATGATTCTAGCATGAATCTAATCTAGATTTCTTGCATTTTCTTAGTTTGGGAAGAAAGTTAAAAAATTAACTCCAAAGTTCATTTTATGCTTTTAATGGGCCTGACACATTTCACTAAGATACCATTTAGCATCCTCAGAAGTAGAGGCAAAGTGAACATAAAAACAGTAATACATATTAAATGTGAGTGCGATAAAAGGCGGGGTGGTTGGTTACCCTGTAGAGAAGACCTGGTAATCTGGTCCTGCTTCTTGTTTGTTGGTTGGGGCATTAGGTGTGTAAATTGGCAGTTCTGTATTGGTCTTGTAGATGGTAAGACTTAACCTAGATGTCAGCTGGCTGTTGAAAATTGGATGATGGCATTTGATGTCTAATTTATTGTCACTGTATCTTTCAATTATTTTGGTATTGCTGATCAGGATCTCTCTGGATATGATTTGGTTATTTGTAGAAATTGTGATTTTTAATGGAGGTGCCTTGAAAGATATTTTTTATCCTGTTTATTTACTGAAGGTGCTCGGCCTGAGCATTCTGAAGCAGGCATTTGAAGGCATAAACAACATTTATCTCTTTCAAGCCATTTTGTTTGGCATTGGGAGAGGTCTTCATGGGCAAGTTGGCAGTCTTCTTACTCGTGTAATAAATGGTGAACCGCAGCTTCAGTGGAATCATATTTCTATCAGTTATGTCTCTAGATAATATACTGTCTTTTGAACCATTAAAAAGTAGCTCCTATATATAATACTGTATAGTTTTATAGATGGGAAGGTTGTGTAATGTTGAATTCTTCATTAGTGGTTGTGTGGCAGATCACGTTCCATTTGCTGACACTTTCACATGTCTTCTTTGTGTTGTCTTAGGCTCTGTTCTCTGATCCCACACTATGTACAGTGGGCTCTTGGATTTTCTTCCATGCAATATCTGGGCTGGTTGGCTTGGTCTTCTGTGCTTTTTATCCTTCATTCACTGAGTGTTGTGTCTTGAAACCTTCTGGCTCTTTACTCCAGGGTTCTGATAAGTTGGTGCTGGCCTTGGCTGTGGTGTCTGTCCGAGGTGCCTCCTCTGGGTCTTTCAGCCCATTTCCTGTGCTCTCCTTTTTTTTATGGTCTCTGTTTGCTTTCTGCCTTCTGATTTGAGGCCATTTGGGCTTCTCGTGTGTATCTGCTGCATCCTGTAACCTGCAGGCAGCATACCCTCTGCCTTCCCAGCACAGTGCCTGGGTCCTCTACTATTTGTGGTTTGTGCTAGTCGTCCTGGGCTGTGAGGTCTGTCCCCCTCGGGTCTGGTTGGTTTAGTCTCGGGCTGTGGGCTCTTTTTTTTTTTTTTTTATTCTATAGTCTTGCCCCATTTTCTTGGACTTGTACATGGATTGTACTTGAGGCCATGCTTGATTTTTGATAACTTGGTCTAACAGGCTGTTGCTTAGAGCAGTTCACAGACTAACATATCCACTACAACCCAGTTCAGCATTTTTTGCAGGAACTTGTCTGATTATTTCTTGAAGAAATAATTGTCAAAAGAAGGCACCAAGATTTGTTGAAGTCCACTTTGCAGCAATATTTCTTATGCTTGCTGGGAGAGTACTGAATAAATGTGGACCTCTGATGTTCATACAGTGCTTTCTGATTGTACCTATGTCACCTCTACTCTTCAATGGTTATATTTTGCTGTGCAAATTTTGGACCTGGCCTTCTAGTATCCTCTATGTATATATTATTTCATATATCTCTCATCTTTCTAGAAAATACATTTTGACAGCTTTGAGAGGGTCCCAATAATTTAAGTGCTTTATCGTGTCTGTGTGTGCTGTATATGTTCTTTGTATTCTCTCTCTTTCAGAAAGCTCTCCATGCTCTGAAAGGAAAAGCAAATACTGAGCAATAATCATGGTGGAACTGAGTCAGTGATTTAAACAGTACAAGCATAGTGGTGGAATCCCTAGCTTTGAGCATCTCTTGTGCTGGTTTTGGTCACTTGTTTTCATGACCTCCGTCGGCTGGATCTAGGCTCCAGTCCTTAAGGTGGCGTACCGTACCATATTTTGGCCGGCCATGTGTCCCTGGCCATGTTTAGTGCAAGGACTCTCTCTTCCTTGGGTATCCTGGTCTACCATCTAGTGGTAGTCAGGTGCATCACAAATAGGGTACTTTTCATGCCACAATGAACTTGTTGAACTTGTTCTTGTTTACTTAGGGGTTGTTATTGTCCTTGAATCAGTCACTTGTTTTATTGCACCTAACTCTTCAAAGGTGTTTATTTTCTTTGTTTTGGGTAAATCTCTGATCACCAAGTTCCCCGCCTCACCTTGTGAAGCAAGGCAAGTGTTGGTTGTGGCATCTGATGCATCAGAGTGGGTCTCGGAAGCCTGGTGCCATTTCCTAAGACTTGGCATTGCTAATGCTTAAAGGTCAGGGGCCAGATTCACGAAAGCACTTACGCAAGCACTTATGAACCTGTACATCTTTTCACAATCTTTGGCGGCTTTGTTTACAATTATTAAACAGTTAATGAGCTCCGAAGCACCAGGAGGCTGTTTATAACATTAACAACAGTTGATTGGGAAGTTTTCATGCTTGTAAACTGTTTAATAAATGTAACCAAAGCCATCAAAGATTGAAGAAAGATGTACACGTACGTAAGTGCTTTCGTGAGACTGGCCCCAGGGTACTACTGAGAGGACTCTCCCAGGATTTCAGTACAGGTTTACAAAATGGTTAGTAAATGTGTTATCCATAAGCATTTACTAAATTTAGTTTACTGTCTTACATGGATTAATTGATCAGTAGAACTGATAACCAATACTCATATTTGATATAATTTCCTGTATGCGAGTAAATGAATGCCTGTATTTCAAGCAGGTTTACATATTGGTTTGTAAAAAAAATTCAAAAACAGATTCTGAATTTAGTTTACTGCTTTATTTGGGTTATGAGATTAAAGAATTGATAAGCAGTACTCAAATTTGATGATGTTGTTTGTAATTAAATTAATTTTTTGTAATCTTTCTAAAAGTTGTCCCTTTCCAGCACTGATAATTGTGATAATATTGATACTTTTAGTACAGACATTAATAATTTTCTTACACGAATTTAGTTATGTGTTGTCTTATAAACATTATATGATAAATATATTATTTGATTATTAGTTTGTTTTATGAAGTGTGTTAGTGGAATGTTTATCAATGAAACAGTACGATACACTACACAACGAGCTCTTAAGATCATAATAATGTGTTGTTTTTTACCAAAGATCGTTTTTGTAAATATACAGCCGATATTTTGTCCTTGTTCCTCCATTCCCAATGCTTAAATTTAGTTGTTGAGTTGCATAATATGCATACCATATTGGGAGGGAGCCGGTCGGCCGAGCGGACAGCACGCGGGACTTGGGATCCTGTGGTCCTGGGTTCGATCCCAGGCGCCGGCAAGAAACAATGGGCAGAGTTTCTTTCACCCTGTTACCTAGCAGTAAAATAGGTACCTGGGTGAAGTCAGCTGTCACGGGCTGCTTCCTGGGGGTGGAGGCCTGGTCGAGGACCAGGCCGCGGGGACACTAAAGCCCCGAAATCATCTCAAGATAACCTCAAGATACCATGTTGACCAGACCACACACTAGAAGGTGAAGGGACGACGACGTTTCGGTCCGTCCTGGACCATTCTCAAGTCGATTGTGCATGCTTGTATACACATCATACATACATTCACTTGTAGTTTAGAGGTGTGCACCAACACTAGTACTACTATAAATTAAAGAGCACTAGGCTGTGAGAATAAGTTAAGAGAACTCAAGTCTAACAAGCCATAGAGGCTCGGTAGCAGAGGCAGTATGATCACAACATACAAGATAATCTATACGGGTGGTCATCATGTAGGATTTATTGAAATATGTTGTTTTGCATGCCATCTCCAGCCACAACTTCAAAGTAACTATGGCAAAACTCAAGAATCATGAAATTTAGATATGAACCAGGCACAGAATCTTTGATGATAGTACACCGGAGCAGTCTAATAGTAAGTAAGAAATGTATAGATAGTACTAGGAAGCTTAAGTAATAAGGAAAAAATTCCAGTTTGGCAGCAGGATGCTGCTGCTGGAAACTTTCCTTAAGACTGCTCAATAGCTCGGTCGATAGAACTTCAGCCTCACATGCATGGGGTCCATGGTTCGAGTTACCTAGAGCCCATATGAATGATTAGGAATATTACGATGGTTGAAATTTTTTTTTATCAAGAAGACGGAGGGCCCGATCATAGTGGCAGGGATACAATGCCAGGTTAAGAATAAGAAAAATTACCTCCTGACTGTGATAAACAAAGGGTTGAGATGTTACCTAACACATCTTTCAACTGCATAGGATAATGCAGTGATTTGACACATTCTTTGTCTTGGGAAAATTCAGACGTGGCACCCTTGAAGGAATATCGTTACCATTGAGAAGACTACATGGTCCTGTAGTGCAGTAGTCTACATTCTTAACTCTCAAAGATCCTGGGTTCTGTCCTTGGCCAGGAGAGAAAAGTTTGGGCACATTTCCTTTGACTTGATACCCGCCTGTTCGCTTACCAGAAAATAAGTTCCTGGGATTTAGGCAATTATTGTAGGTTGCATCTGGGAAAATTCAGTAGTTAACCTAAGGGGATCTTGATACCCCCAAGTATATGCTTGCTGTCAATAATGTTTGACAGCATTAAGAGAATAGTTTATACAATTAATAACAGCATTAAGGTTTAGAACATCACATTACAGTACTTGCAGGCCTCAGGTAGAGGCCTGCTATGCTTTATTTAATTTTAAGCTACAGTATAATAGGAATAGTGAAACTGGTTCCAATTTTTCTAGGGCTTTATTGTATGGTCACTTGATGTGATTTCATAAATATCTGCATGTTGGGAATATTGCAAATATGAGTGATGACTAATTATTGATGGAGTTATAGGCTTGAGAATGTTGCAACCAGAGTGAAGCTGATGCTGACTAACCATAATGTGTTGTGGTTGCCATCTTCTGTTTGTCCACAAAGTTGGCCAAAATGGAAAACTTTGAGAACATTGGTTATATATATAACAAAAAGGTTACAGACATCTCTGATGTACAGGTGTACAGTACTACCATACTGATAAGTTCAACCAGGATTGATAGTGACTTGCAACGAGTCATCTTGCCCTCTACTGTGTTCAGAAATCAGAGAAAGAATAGGGGACAAGCCATCCAAGAGAGTGATGCATACTTTAGATGGTAGTTAACTTGTGCTTCACTTATTTGTAGTCAGTACTATCACGCAAGCATGAACTATGCTTCAGTGTTGCTAATCTTTTGGTTTCCCTGCTTGCATGGGTCTTCTATTCATCCTTACGCCATCTGATTATCATTGCCCATTTCCTTGGCAGCAAATATGACCTGCCGTTGTTGTCTCCAGACAGATATTGCTGCAATAAGTGATTAATGAAGGTTGGCATTTCCTCTTGTGTACAAGTCCAGACTTGAGTGCAGTCATTAGCACAGGCTTGGGCTTCAGGGATGGCATGTAGTGGATCATTGAAATAAACATTCCATAATAATGGACCAAGCAGACTTTCATGTGGTTTACTGGCACCAATTGAGGGGTTTTCAAACTTCTATGCTAAGAGTTACTCTTAGTTACCATTCTTGAAGTTAGTTACCAGGTAGTAAACAGAGATGCCTAGTGCTTGAAGCTTTGATGTTTATCCATCATGACATACACAGAGTTTTGACTCGGAGCATGACGTAAGCTGCTGAGGCTGGCTTCTAGATTAATGACTTACATCTTAGCAGAAAAATTAGTTTCCAGCAGATAGCATTTTCTTGATTTTTGACTGCAGTGGTCCTATCTTCTTTATTTAGTTGTGGGATTGAGACGCGGATAAATTTCTGGTGGTCTCTATGGTCTATCAGACTTTGGAACCTGCTCTTCCTTAATCAGTTTGCCTTCACACCCCAGGCTCAACACTCATGTGAGATGACAAATAGAAATTTCTCCAGAATGCAGCTCAATACACTGAAGCAGTAATTACACTATGCATTCAAACAGTGAAGTAAATGTTATGATTCTGGTGACAATTGTTGACTTGCAGGATAAATATTACCTTTGTAGGCTTTTATCTCCTGCATACAAATTTGCTGTTTATTCTTGTTTTTCAAAGGAATATTACTATTTATAGTGCTATAAAAATATATATTTTTGATTATAAACAAATATTCTGCACTATATATATAATAATTTTACATTTAAATTAATGGGGAATATTTTATTACAGACTATTTGCATTTGATATAGTGTATTGGAAGAGCAACACTTAGATGAGTA